TTTCAAAACGTTCTCGAACAGCGTCATTAGGAAATCAACCTCCATCTGTTCGACAAAATGCCAGAGCCACGAGTTAGCCAAGCATCAGACAGCAGCGACCTCCGGATATGGAATTGCAAACCCGGAACCAACCTTGGGGCGCGTCCAGTTCTCGGATGAGAAGGCGAAGACGGTGAGCGCCCGAATCCCCCACTGGCACGAGAGTTCGACCATCTTCTTAAGGGTGCGGTACCCGGCCTCGTGCCCAGCCGACGACGGCAGCCCCCTCGCCTTCGCCCACCTCGAGTTCCCGTCCATTATCACCGCCACGTGCCTGGGCAGCGATTCCGGCCGCAAGTGAGGCGGCAGCAAAGCCTCCTCCTTCCTCTCCTCCACCTCTCGAGCGGGGGCAAGAGAGGCGCTTAGCGAAGGATACTGCCGAGCAGGGTGAGCAGTAGAGACCAAAGACTCGTTCGCTCCATTTCTTCTTGTTCTTCTTCTACTACCACGTAGAGGAAGCAGAGTGGCGGAGTAGTTGAGCGTCGCGTAGTTCAAAGTGGGGTTGAGGTGGAGAGAAGACAGCATGCTGCTCTCGCGGTCTCACCGTCCCAGTAAGCTGCAGTGCGGTGGTGGCAAGGTTCGATGCCGCACTCACAATAAATACTGTAACAGTGCCAGGTACAGGCTGATTGACGATTGCTTTGTCCTGTGGCCATCAAGGAGACGATCCCCAACCTTGCGTCCAAGAAATTATCCTCCTCTTTTTATTCTTTCACATCCAGTAATTGTGGTCACAGACCAACGATGCATTCGTTCCTCGCGTAGGCAGATCTTTTGGCTTCCATATTTGATCTCAAGTTCTTGTGGTGACGAGCAAATCTTCGAGAACCTGTTGTGGTTGACTCCCTATGCACGCAGGAGGGTGCAACTTGTGGCGCGTAAAAAAAGGTGATCGGCTGGCCATGAAAAAGCTCGTAACGAAGGAATTATCTGCACAGGAGCAGACTTGCTCTGCTAGCATGAACTGAGGTGATGTTTGTCTCATTACATTTACGAGGCATCGAGAAGGAAACATGCAGCTGATGATTCTGATGTGCACGCATATGGTTTCTGTCTTTTTGCTTGTTTTGATCATTCCACTGAAGGAAAGACGAAAGTGATAAATGCATTGGCAGACAGAAGAATGAATCAGCAATTTACATGGCTTAGATTTCACCTCCTTCAGAGTGTTTCTATTGTAGACGCAACCAAATGATAATACTGCAGAAGTAATCTTGCATCTATGATGATTGTTAATGGAAAGGACAGAGGACCAGTTGTTGTTGTCTGGTGGTAGAATAATATCCTCTTGAAACTTGAATTTTCCTTTTTTTAATATTATTTTCATATAGTATATATAGTATAGAATAAAGAATGTCCTCATAAATGGCTGAACACTCTTTTTTTTGCCTACTACTAATTTTATTAGTTATGCATGGAAAATTTTCATTAATGTGGAAAATTGTTTTTGGAACAGATACCAATTGCATGGCAATAAATAGCTATAGTTTCAAGGATGCAAACCTGAGTGATGATTCCATGAAGTGTTTCACTTCATGGAAGAGATAACAGAGGGTTGCACTCTATATGGTTACATTTCCATTATCATCAAAACTCCAAAATTAGCTTTCCTCATTCCCAGCAATCTCTTCTTCTAAAAGTAGACAATTGGAAGGTAGACATCCAATTGTTTTGGAACTCCTTGTCTATACACTAAGGGAAGCTTGATTTGATGAAATTAATGTATCCCAATAGTAAATCAGGATAAAAAGTTTTTTTAACTGATTCATTAATTGTATTTAACATAATCATATAATTAGCTCATTTGTTTCGGAAAAATTAAATCATTAGCCTTTCTTGACCTAATTTGATTGGATAATTAATCTATGAATTTTATCGAGTCTAAATCATTATTAGTCCGAAATTAATAGTAGTATACCCATTAAGTTCATGTAAATCAATTGAAAGGACTTGCTTAGACATTTTCATCTAAGTTTGACCCTACAGTGAGTCAAAAATCTTTTGACTTCATGGATATAAATATACACAAAAAGGACATCTGTGCTTATTGGATTTCTTCAAAAGTCATAGTTTATCCATCTAGATCTTACTAGAATACTTAAATTGTGCACATTTTTTAGGCTCAAAAGTGATAATTTTCAACTGTGCAACTTCTGCTCAGTTTCAAATCATTTATCCATTTTCAATCCAACAAATACCAAAAGAACAATCCACTGCTCCAACTGCATGCATCCAGAACCCAAAATAGCAGAAATAGATATCACAAGGACATAAAGATTAATATAAATTGCAACACCACAAGATCTTGAAAGGAATCAGGTGAAAACAAGCTAATTAATATGACTACTTCAACAGAACTTAGCGGTCGGATAGCAGTAATAGATAGGAACTCTTGTGATATCTTTTACTGCTCTTGAAAGTCATATGGAACAAAAGAAATGAAAGGGGAACAAGAAAAAGAGAGAGGAACTTTCTGGGTGTAGGGCAAAAGAAAAACTAATACAAGGCAAACTGAAAGAGAATTAAGTATTCATTCCTTCAGCTCTGAACTGTTGCTGATGTTGAAGGAACACCTCAGTAGATGATACCCTTACAGCTGTTTGACATGCATTCTCTGCATCACTAACAGTTTCTTATTTGCTTAATACATTCCTGTGCTGTTACATTAATAGGATTTATAGATTTGTTCACAGAGATCGCATTTTTCAATGAAAAATAAATATATAGGAGCTTCGTGTTCTTTGTGTCATATGTTAGGATTGACGTTGTGTATTTTATGTTTTGATGAATGTGTTTTGATGCTCGGAGAGTGACGATGAGAGGTGAGAGCCTCTTGACATATACATCAGTATCGATGCAGATGTACAACGGTACCGCTCGTAATTACATTGGCTGGCGAAAGAACTGTCAATGCATATGTTGAGCAACGCTACTTGATAAATTGCATCGATGCCAACGCAAATGCAAAGTGATGCTGCTCAACAATTACATCAACATCGCTTTGCATTTGTGTCGACATCAACGTAGTTACCGAGTGACATCGCTCTATACTACATCAGTGATCCTTTCGCTGCTTATCTCTCGTTACTGCTCTTATCATCTACAACAACTACCCACGACCCACAGTAACATTGTTATCCGTTATCATCAACTGAAATATTAAAAATTATTATTTTGTTTATTGTTTTCATATTTTCATTAGTAATATTGATAGTGTTAAGATAATATATATGTTTCACTTTTTTTAATTATAAAAAATATTAATATAATTTTTTAAAATATAAAAAAATTATTAAAGATAATTGAGTAATATGTAATTAGTCCTTCAAATTCTACGACAATCGAGAACGTGTCAAACATGATCTCACACGCCAGCCGCCAAAATAGAAGTCAAGTCATCCAATGCGGTCGCTGACCACAAGAAGAGCAAGCACGGTGGAAAGTTCCACTCGTCTTTCTTCGCAACGAATGAAACGCCGGCCCGCAGGCGACCGGAAAGACCAGGCTTCTGCGTATCACCACCGCTATATATTCGCCCATAACGGGCAGGCGCTGCTTCACTGCTTCAGAATTCAACCGTTCTCTCTCGCTTCCTTTCTCGTTCAAGCTTCTTGTGATCCTCGGAATTGGCTCCGGAGCCCTGTTCTCCAAGTGCTGCTACGAAGATGAGTTCTGGGTCCGTCATGCTGTTCGGCGCCTTCTTCTTCCTCTCGATTCTCATGCAGCTTGCGCACGGCCAGGCGGTGGCGCCCTCGCCGATGAGCAACGACGGCAAGGCGATCGACCAAGGGATAGCTTACGCGTTGATGCTCGTAGCCCTTCTCGTCACCTATCTTATCCACTGAGTCGCCCCCCATTCTTCTGAAGCTGTACTGTTCCTGTTCTTTACATTCTTTGTATTCCTTGGATCAGCCTCCGCCATCCATTCGATTACACACAAGTAATCTTTGTTATGGTGGATTTGTTGTTTCGTCTACCTCCTTTTAGTTGATATATAAGTGATTTTAAACGTCCTCTCTAAAATATAAAATAAAATCGATTTTAATCCGTCTACATCCAATTTTGATGTGATCGAATTGAATCCAAAGCGTCGAGTCCGAATCAGTGGGAAGACCGGTCCGATGGCTTAGACATTTGCAGCCTAACCTATTGACATCACCAAATATCACGATCTATGATCTAATATCACATATGTTAAATATAAGGATATAAATTCTTGAAATATTCTCAAATTCTAACGAATAAATTAAGGTATTAGGAAAGCTATAATTGTTAAAATTATTATTATTACTATTATTATTATATGGTTGGATCATTTTCCAAAATGACTTAAACGAAAGATATTTATAGATTTATCTTTTTGGAAAATAAAGCATTTACAGAATCCAAAGGAGATATATCGCATTTATCTCATACCATTTGAACTCGTAAGACACATCAAAAGCCCCCCATCTATATTCATTAATGGCACATCGCATGTAATTCAAATCCCCTCAGAAAACCATCACAAATTATTGCAGCATTTTATCACCTCGTTGCGTTCACGTTACAACATAAAGCGTTGTCTACCCATCAAACGATACCCGTTACACCTGCTTCTCTGAGATTCAAAGCGGGACCCACTGGGGCCTCTTCAGAACTTGCCAATTACGAATGCAGGTAGGTTTCGAGTAACCACAGGCAGATAAGGAAAGTATTAATCGATTCGACAACGGATCCTTCTCGAACCCGTCAGTCCGCTACAGAAATGATCTCCCTCGACCCGTCCCACCACTCACGCCACGTGGCGACAGGACCGGGCCCCATTTTCTGCACAATCGTCACCGCACATTTTTTGTGGGCTACGCCATATCAACGGTTTAAGAAAATTGCCGGTCTATGATACGTGGATCGCTCGTCGATGATTCTAGAAAAAGCGACAGACCCCGGGCGACGCCTTATATGTAGCCCTTCTCCCTGCCTTTAGCTCTTCTGCGCATTTGGGAAACCTAACGACGCGACGACGGCGAATTGGTAGATTTGGATCGCGAGAGAGCGCCTGCGGAAGGGATTGGGCACCACTTCGCACCAGCTCTGCGGTTCCCTAGACGTAAGATCCGGATCCTCTGTATCTCTTTCGACTCACTCGTGGTTTCCCGTCCAAAATCTTGTCCTTATTGCGGTGCGACGATCGATATCCTGGCTATATGGTTCGATTTCGTGCTTGCTGTATTGTTTTCTGCTATTTGATTCCTTTTTAGCCTTTTGGTTAGACCTAATATCGTATGGATCTTCGTGTTGATCTGTCTTATAGTTGCATTCGGTAGTAGTATTATAACTGGATAACTAGATCTGATTTTTCTTTGAATTTGTTGGGGCGACTGTGCCTAAAAATCGTGTGTTTCACCCATTGATGCATAGATCTACATTTCTGTTTATACCGGGGATCGGATCATACATATAAAACATGAGCGTTGTCGGATTTGATGTTGGGAACGAGAGCTGCATTGTTGCCGTGGCCCGGCAACGCGGAATCGACGTGGTTCTTAACGATGAATCAAAGCGCGAGACCCCTGCTGTTGTCTGCTTTGGCGAGAAGCAGCGGTTTATTGGGACCGCGGGTGCCACATCCTCCACGATGAACCCCAAGAACTCGGTCTCACAGATAAAGCGCCTGGTTGGTCGGAAATTTTCGGATCCAGAAGTGCAGAGGGATATCCAGTTGGTCCCGTTTAAGGTTACTGAAGGGCCTGATGGGTTTCCGCTGATCCATGCAAACTACCTTGGAGAGCAGAAAACCTTTTCTCCGACACAGATTCTTGCAATGGTTCTTTCTAATCTGAAGAGCATTGCGGAGAATAACTTAAATGCTGCAGTAATGGATTGCTGTATTGGAGTTCCGGTTTACTTCAATGATCTCCAGAGAAGAGCTGTGATAGATGCTGCTACGATTGCTGGTCTCCGCCCTCTCCGCTTGTTCCATGAGACTACTGCTACTGCATTGGCTTATGGTATCTATAAGACGGACTTGCCAGAAAACGATCAGCTTAATGTGGCTTTTGTTGATGTGGGCCACGCAAGCATGCAGGTTTGCATTGCTGGTTATAAGAAGGGGCAACTGAAGATCTTGGCACACTCTTATGATCGATCCCTTGGTGGGAGAGATTTCGATGAAGTGCTTTTCAAGCACTTTGCAGTCAAGTTCAAAGATGAGTATAAAATTGATGTGTATCAGAATGCCCGGGCCTGTCTCAGGCTCCGCACGGGCTGTGAGAAGCTGAAGAAGATGCTCAGTGCAAATCCAGAGGCTCCAATGAGCATTGAGTGCTTGATGGACGACAAGGATGTGAGAGGTTTTATCAAGAGAGAAGAGTTTGAACAGATCAGTGTACCCATTTTGGAGAGAGTCAAGCAACCTTTGGAGAAGGCTCTTTCAGAGGCTGGGCTGAGCCTGGAAAATATTCATTCAGTTGAAGTTGTTGGGTCAGGGTCCCGTGTTCCAGCGATTATTAGGATTTTGACTGAATTTTTTGGTAAAGAGCCTAGGCGTACCATGAATGCAAGTGAGTGTGTCGCTCGGGGCTGTTCCCTTCAGTGTGCCATTCTAAGTCCCACATTCAAAGTGCGGGAATTTCAGGTACTACTTTATTTTGTTTCTCTGAAGTTAAATTTAAGTGCCATGCTGATATAATTCCTTTATATCTGCTAGTGCAATACCCTCCTTTGGTGTCTATACAGTGAATATAACAATTTTCTAATTGTACCATCACCTTAGCTCTTATTTATGTCCCATGCTGATATAATTCTTCTATATCTGCTAATGCAATGTCCTCCTCTGATGTCCATTACGTGAATGTAACAATTTTCTAGTTGTTTCATCACCATAGCTCTTATTTGGTTTTCACATCTTACAGTTTTTCTTGTTCTGTTGTTCTGTGTATGCATGCTGATACAATATCAGAATTTGTTGAGTGACTATGACTCATAGTAATTCTGGGTGGAGATCTACTTGTACATTGTCACAGACTTGGACAGAGTCTTCTCTATTTCTGATAATACAATGGTTACTGTTAATCATACAAATTGTCTCTTGCCAGATAGATTTATTTTTACATATTATTAGCTTGATTTTCTGGTGTAATTCAGATAAGGCATTCTCTTGGGGAATCTGAAATGTTGGTCAAAGTGGATCAAATATGCCTACTTTAAGAATATTAGATGAAGTTTCATATGCATGTATTAGTTGATGAATCTAGGCTTACAATGGACCCTTTAGGTTAGCTGAATATCTCTTTGGTCATAATTTTTTTCTTTTGTCAGATTTTGACGAATGAGTTATCTTAGCACTTCAAGATTGTTCTTCAGAATAAGGTAGGCAGAACAAGGTAGGCAATACCGAATGATACCGTCCGGTACAGGCGGTATGTATCGGTTCGACGGCATACCGGTACACGGACCGTCTGCTACCGGGCGGAATGAAAAATAATAATAAAATTATATATATATATATAATATATATATATATATATATATTAGAAAAAGGTGACATTCGGTGACGTCGTCGAGGCGCCTATTTCGGATTACACATATATATATTTTTATTTATTTATATATTTAAATATATATTTAAATAAACGAGGCGACGTCGCTCCGTGTGGGAAAGGAAAAGGCGACATCGTCTTTTAAATTAAAAATATATATATATATATATAATCTTATATATATATATATATATATATATATATATATATATATATATAAACGAGGTGACATCGTCAAAGCGACGTCACCCCGCCTGCGAGAAGAGAGAGGCGACGTCGCGGTATATTGCTCGGTTTACCGTTTCGTACCGTACCGAGTGAACGTCGAAACGCTGGTACGGTACGATATTGCGAATCTTGTTTCAGAATCCTTTAATCCATGATACAGAATATTTGTTATGTTTATTTGCTCTGTGTTAGAAATGCATCCCATTTTTCTTATCATTTTCGTATCTAATATTGTCTACTGTTTTTTCATTTGATCTTATTGAGTTGGTCAGCTTCTTTGAGAATTCCCTGTGATAAGAAAATATCCTCATTCCTTGTGTTGTATGATTCACTACATACATAGAATCCTGCCTTTATATGGCTGTCATCTATTTCATATAGTGGTTGCTGATCATGCTGCTATATGTAGTAGGTGATGGCATGTTGCACTTTCTTAGTAGAGGTTAAGAAGCTCTTCTTCCTCTCTTTTTAGATTTTCTTGGGGACTGTCTTCTAGGTACATAACTAGTATGACCAGTGAGTTTCAGGCAATAATCTTGGTTATTTGTGAGGCACAGGTGACAAATAACAGTCATTATCAGCCTAAAAAAATCATATACAGAATGGTTTTTTGTATAGTTAGTTTGGGTACATCGAGGTTATTCATGAATGTATTTCCATTTGTGCTATGGACTGTAGGTAGCTATTTATATTTCAATTGTTGATACTTATTTTACATTGTGAATTTACTTTTTATTTTTGGAAGGTTCACGAGAGCTTCCCTTTCCCAATAGCCTTATCATGGAAAGGATCTGCCTCTGACTCTCAGAATGGTGGAACAGAAAACCAACAGAGTACAATTGTGTTTCCAAAAGGGAACCCACTTCCTAGTGTCAAAGCTCTTACATTCTTTAGATCTAGTACATTCACAGTCGATGCTGTTTATGCTGATACAGCTGATGTGCAAGTTCCAGCAAAGATCAGCACTTACACGGTAACTAATCGACTTGAACATATTTACCTTTTCTTCTTGGTTGTGCTTCTGTTATTTTGAAAGTTTTAATACTTGCTTGACTCATGGTTATCATTAGATAGTTAAGGCATTTAAAATTCTGTTGTCTGTGACAATTGTGAATGTCATTTGGCAGATTGGACCTTTCCAGTCCAGCAAAGGAGAGAGGGTGAAGCTGAAAGTAAAAGTTCGCTTAAGTCTCCATGGAATTATTTCTGTTGAGTCAGCTGTTGTAAGTATTGAATGCCATGAATTGGTTGACCTTTTTTTTCCTTTTCCATGAAATAATTTATATGTTCTCCAGATGTTGGAGGAGGAAGAAGTTGAAGTTCCTGTCTCAGCTGCACCAGAGCTACCTAAGGAATCTACAAAGATGGACACAGATGAAGCAGTAAACGAAGCCTCCAAAACTGAAACTGATTTAAACATGGAGGATGCTAAAAGTGCCAGTAATAGTTCTGCTAGTGGGGTTGACAATGGGGTACCAGAGTCTAATGATAAACCTGTGGAGATGGAAACTGATAACAAGGTTTGTAACTTATCACTTGCTTGTAGTGTACTATGCTTAATTATGACTAAAAGTTTCATGCTTTTTTAGTTCAGATTTTCTTTTCTTTGTATGGATGATCTTTTTTTTATTAATACATGTAGATAACTGCTAATTTGTCGCATTAGCTTAAATGGTTTTTGTTAAAATATTTTCATCACTTGTGTGAACCTACAGATCCACAAAAATTTAATTATTGTTGTTTGAATAGACACTGATATATTAGTCTGTGCTTCTTCCTGGTTAAAATCATTATGTTTGATTAGGTTATTCCAGCCATAATTAAGTTTTTGATTGGGTTAAAAAACCTTTCTCAAGTCAATGATGTTTGGTGGGTTAAAACTAGACATTACCATGGGCTCATCTCTGTTTAGGCGCTTATTAATTTGATCCTTTGTTTATTTGCCATAGTTTGAATTGGCGGAAACCATTGATGTGCTTTAAGAAACTTTTAGTAGAACTTGTAATTTCAGTTTATGTTGCTACTCATTTGGTTCTTATTTTGTCTGCCTATCAACTAAATTTAAGATAATTAATTAAAATACATCTCTTATTTTCAGTTTCTACTTATTAAATCTGTTTGTTTTTCTTTGAGTAAAATCTTCAAACTGCTGATATAATTCCAGATCTATTTTTGGTGCTTTTTTACCGTACAGCAGTGCTAGATCAGTAAGCTTTCCTTAGTGTCTAAACTGAAGCCTCATCATGTTACCGAACCATAGTATTTTCTTTTTTTTTGCTATTAATGTAATTTCTTGTCTGAGACACGAAGAGAGTTTTGTTCATTTTCCAGAGAGACATTTTCTATGTAGCTTTTTTATTTAGATTATTAAGATTGTATGTCCTGCAGGTTGAAGCTACTAAAAAGAAAGTCAAGAAAACTAATGTGCCTGTGGTGGAGCTTGTGTATGGCGGCATGTCGGCTGAAGAGTTGCAAAAGGCTGTGGAGAAAGAGTTTGAAATGGCTCTTCAAGATAGAGTAATGGAGGAAACCAAAGACAAGAAAAATGCTGTGGAGGCATATGTTTATGACATGCGAAACAAGGTAATATGCCTCTCCTTATTCTTTCGTTGCACCAAATATTAGCAGTCTATTTAACGAAATGCTAAGAGCATCTATCTTTATGTTTCAGCTCTATGATAAGTATCAGGAATTTGTTACACCATCAGAGAAAGATGAGCTTATTGCAAAGCTTCAGCAAGTTGAGGATTGGTTGTATGAAGAAGGTGAAGATGAAACTAAGGGTGTTTATGTTGCAAAGCTTGAGGAGCTTCAAAAGGTATAATATTGCCTTGGGTTCTGATCTGTGAATGTATGCTTTTAGGACTTGGTGTTTATGACATGATGAATCTGAGTGCAGCTAGGTAACCCAATTGAGGTGCGTTACAAGGAGTGGACAGAAAGAGGTCCTGCAATAGCTCAACTTGCTTATTGCATCAATAGTTTCAGAGGAGCAGCCTTATCCAAAGATCCTAAGTTTGACCACATTGATATAGCAGAGAAGCAGAAGGTATGTTATCTTATTTAACCTGCCATGTTATTTCTTTTACCTTCATCAAATTATGTAAGTTGGCAAGGATTGATTTTTGTTGTGGTCATTTAAGTAACATGTAACTTGGTTCTTCCCTGTTGTCATTGTGGTATGTGGTCTAAGCATTAATTCTTTGTTTCAAACTGATACCATTCTTCAACTGCTGGGCACTTGCAATTTGTTCTTTGTTTGACAAATTGCCCTCTGCTTGTATTTTGTCCAGAGATTATTAAATCTAATGTAGATGTAAATATAGGGATGGAAGTCATGCACTAATATGATTGTACTGTATGTTCCGTAGGTTGTTAGTGAGTGTAGTGATGCAGAAGCATGGTTGAGGGAGAAGCAGCAGCAGCAGGATGGCTTACCCAAATATGCCACTCCAGTGCTTCTCTGCGCTGACATAAAGAGGAAAACTGAGGCACTAGACAGGTGCAATTTCTCATAAGAATTCACCCCCTTTTTTTACTTGTTTTGTTCTTCATTATATGTGCTTGTTGGATCTTCGTGTGGTAAACATTAGCATTTTGCCTAACATTTTTTTGCTTGACCAGGTTTTGTAAGCCAATAATGACCAGGCCTCCGCCACCGAAACCTCAGACCCCTCCTACTGCAACACCAGGAGAGCAGCCTCAAGCCGCTGAGCAGCAGAAACCAGGAGTGCATGCATCAGGGGAGCCCATGGCCGAAGAGGGCAGTCAGGTACCACCTGCAGCAGCTCCAGAGCCAATGGACACTGACAAATCAGAGAGCGTACCTGCAGCATGAAAACATCGAGCTTCTCTAGTTAGCCTTTGCTTCAGAATCATTTTGGTTGTCAGCATTTGGGCAACAAGAGATTGGTCAATGGAGGTTTCTCTGAAGGTCTTAAATGCGTGCTTGAGATTTTTTAATCGCCTAGAATAGAGTTATGAAATGAAAAGAAAATTCCCATAATTCCCATCAGTTTGACTGTACTGAGATTTTTATCCTACATTGTTTCAGGGGCACATTGTAATTTTTCGACAGTCCTTTTTATCTGTATTGCCATTCTCAAAGACTGCATGACAAGTGATGTTTCCGTTTCATATTGAAGGTATATATATCTATTTGGGCTCATCTCCACCAGCCATTCATGTGAGATTGGATCGAGATTGTGTCAGATCAAGGCCTGATCCGTTGCCTAGCAACGAGAGAGGAAGCAGAGATCATAAATTACTAACTACGTGGCCAAACCACGTCCGTAGTTTGCTGATGGAGTTCGGTTCCTTCTCATCATCAGATGAGCTGGCGGTTCCTAATTGGGCAGCCCTGAACAAAGTACAACGAACGCGACTTGGCGTCTTTCGTAAGGCGAGACGCAGCAGAGGTGATCGATCTCACTCACAAGTGGCCGCTCGATCAGTGGCCGACGGCGAGTGATCTCACTCACATCTTGAAGAAAGGGGAGTGGGCGCCGTGCCGCTCTGCCTCGAGAAAACCCGACCCAAAGAGGGAGAACGCTGAAAGAGTGAGGATAGGTAGAAGAAAATAGAGGAAAACAAGAAATGGGGCTTCTGGTGGGAAGCCCGAGCCGGCTGCAGACGCCCCCTCCGCTACCCTTCTCCTCCTCTTCCTCATCTTCTTCACTGTTCCCTTCGCAGAGAAAGCCCGCAACCAAAAGACTGGGTTATGCTGTGTGCTGTGCGAGTGGTGAGAGTGACGTAGGTGCTGCCGCAGGTGCTTCCCGCAGAAGGGCGCTCCTCCTTGTGGGCATCTCAGTTCTTCCCTTCCTGAAACTTGGAGCAATGGCCGCTGAAGGTTTAATGGTCGATGGTCAGTCCAAATTTCGGCTTCTTCTGTTCTTCGATCTGTTAATTACTGTAACTTTGAAGACTCTTGCTCCTATTCAGGTTGAGATTGTTTTTCCCTTTCTTGAATTGATTTCGGTTGTCTGTTTGGTTTGACTGAGTTTTGCAGCACAGCGTGGTTCATCAAATTGCTGGTGTTAGGAACTTCGTTATCCAATTTTGGTTGCTAATCAACATGAATTCGCCGTGTGTTATGTGAATGATCGCATTAATAAGTTCGTGGTTTGTTTCCGATCACAATAGGTTAAAACGTTTGGCAAATTGAAACTCTGACTATTTTCAAGGATTTACGTTTGGCCTCTGCTGTGGGTTTCTATTGCATGCGTCTTTTTTATCCCTACAGCCTTTTCTTGAAGAAATTTATCCTAGTTCCATAGTCCATCCCACCATGGTGTAAGGATTTCCTCGTTGCAGAAGAATATAGAATGTAAATTAATACCGTATAAGATTTTACTTGTAAAAAGATACGTTCACATCAACCATATATATCAGCTTGTAGATGCAGATTTATGCATCTCCTTATGGTGTTGAAACCATGTATCCTAGGATCTAATTGTCACAACATTGGTTGAATAATGACAGATTGTTGTCACTACATGAATCTGTTTGCATCATTTGTCCAATCAGTCAAAATATATTACAGTTTATCATATATTTCGTGAAAAAGATCTAAGATTATCCTATAAACTCAGATGCTATTCTAGAATCCAGTCTGAGGTGTATCCTTGACTCCCATCCCAAGTTATGAGAAGAATTTTGAAGATGGAACCACGACCACCATGCTGGATTTCATTTTACCTATATGCGCACAAAATCCTTTGTCTAGCCTGGTCCAATTATGAGTCATGACTAATTTGTTGGATATTATGGTGCTTTGTGTTTCATTTTTATTATTATACTCTCTTGGATGATCAGGCTTCCTTATGACACAAAGAGACAAAATAAGTGATTATTTAGTTTGTTCAGAATGCTCAAGATTGAAAATCATCATTTGGATTTTGAATTCATGGTCTTCTATGTAGTTAAATAAAGATATTCTATTTCTACTATTGGAGGTTTCAAATTGTTTCTCATAAATTCATATCTAAGTTTCTCTCTGAGTGAATTATTTATGGTTAGTTTATCAGTGATCCTGTTACAATGCTCTAATACTCTATAGTGAAGCAGGATTTCAAACTGTGGTTCCTAGCATAAGTGACGAAATAAGACAGAAGATTTATAAAGTTCAGGCAATAAGCTTTCGCCGACGAGCAAAGACAACCAAGCAGGTCTTCACTGAAGTAGATAAAGGTACAATAGCAGTGTCACGCCCACAAATACATGTCTTTCATCCTGCAGGCCATCTCTCTCAATGTGCCCAAATAATAATAGGAAAACAAGATGTCCTAATCTAGTGTGTCAACATATACACACAAGTACAGTTACATGCATGCATTCAAAAATTAGGCCTGGGTATACAACCAGGATACTTGGATGGACTTGGGTTACTTGGAACTGAGGTTGAGATAGGTCTCCAGTATTATGGTACAAACAAGTGAGCATACTGAATGCAAGACACCGGAATACGTTGAAGGGTGCTAATGTTCCCCTTACTTGCAGAACAATCTATTCTGGCAAGCTTATCGAGAGTACACATCTTTGAACAATGGTTGGATTAGGGACATGATGGTGTTCAATTTGGCACTCACCAAAATGGAAAATTGCATTGCCATGCATTTTAGTTGGGAAAATATATAGTTGCAAAATACTATCCGGCCCATGTACAAAGATATTGCAGATCTCCACTTTGTTTAGAAACTCACTGGATCTGGAATTATCATATATTTCAACAATATTTTTTTGTGTATACTTTTCTCCTTTTGTCAAGGACAAGCCAATCCTCAATGCATTTAGTTATTGTAAGTGTTGGACAACTGGTATAATATAATGTTTATTCCATGAAAATAAGACATACAAAATAGAATTCTCATTGTCATTGTGTCGCTTGTGGTGCTCTCATGTCAATATGGCATGCCCCTTGCCTTTTCGTCTTTTAATGTCAATAAGATTGCCTGATTCTGCATTGTTGACATGAGGTACAATGGACTTGTTATAACCTTGTACCTTTAAAATACTTTTTTCTGAAATTTGAAACATGTAATAACCGGAAATTAAGAGTCCATTATGTGATCAGAACCACTTAGTGGCTCTATCTATTCCCCGCTTTGGCTCTATACTTCAACCAACAAATGTTTTTAAAATTTTGGTATCTGCATCACAGTAGACCTTGTTTCATATGTATGAATGCCTTGGTGTAACTGACTATTTTTGTTGTGGCTTTAGACAAACAAGATATCGGAAAACCAAATGAACAAGATGTGATAATACCAGACAAACAAGACCTTGCTATGCCAGATAAACAAGTTGTCATTATGCCAGATAAACATGATGTCATACAGCCAGAGACACAATTTCTTAAAGATACTGTGCTTGAAGATTCATCTCAAGGGCCTAACCAATTTGAGGTGACTTATCTTCATTTTTGCTGTTTCAATTTTAAACTAACCAGTTTTTTCTGTGTCAGTCTTGTAGTGTATTTTTTTATTTTTTTCATCTAATATAAATCCCATTTATTTGCAGCAAGCACATCTTCAAAATGCACCATCAAACTCGTTCATTTCTTTCCTAAATGAGCTTGGAGTAATTGCTTCAGGTGTTCTTGGCGCACTGTATGCAACATCACAAAAGGAAAAGACAGTTACCGAATCAACTGTGGAATCTGTATCAATCTCTAACCTTTGAACAGTATTTTTCTTACATTTTTTATTGACCATAAATGAGGATTTGGCATTGCATTGGAGATTCTAAAATATTGTCCTATTCATCTCTATAGTGATATTAATGTTGGATAAGGATTGTTCTCTGCTCTGATTTACTACTGAATGCATGGGGGTGAAAGCTTAAAAAAGTGATGATTGATAGCATTGATGCGAGATGAATCATGAAAAAACACAATGGCTTATAGTAGTAAAATCACTTTTGTGACTTACGTGAATTTTAGAGTTCCAATTGCGGTCCTCAAGGGAACTTCCACTGGTGCGAAAAAGCCTGGGGTCTTAGGCATAACTCTTCCCCTTGGTGAGCCTATAGGGAGTTAACTCCATACAGAAAATGCAGTAGGTTAGATTACATGCCCTTGAAGCTATAAGATATTCTATTAAGTTTATTGGATGAAAATTCAATATCTGCAAACAAATGAAGAGCTAACCTACTTGGACAATGATAACTATTTTCGGACGCAAAGAAATGAGTTTATACAAAGTCAGAATTAGGAAAAGCATGAGATATCAAATTGACTGGCCATTCCTTCCATCAGAAAATAATATAGTAATGACAGATCTTCAATCCACGGATTATATTTCTGTCATTCTTTATTGTGTTTTTTAAATTTTTTATTGTGTAGACATCCATATTATTGTACTAATTTCCTGTATCCTTATTCAGACATGCTACAACATCATAGTTAAACCAAGTAATTCTTCTCCATAATTTGCTTATGCTGCAAAAACAATTTAGTTCTGTCCCCTAACACTAGCAGATTATGATGTTGACTAAAATGTTCTTTGATTTTATTTTGAGAAGGTTTCTTGAGTTGCAGTATATACTCTACATTCTTGCATGGGTGGTAAGGCATAGGCATTGTCTCAGTTGTACTTGAAAATGTAACCATTTATCTTGGTTGTACTTGTAAATGTGCATCTTTCTTTATTCTTTCTTGTCTGAAGGACGTAATTATACTTTCCAGATGAGACTTTTTGGCATAATTATGATTGCATCTTATTACATGTCACCACATCTATTATATACTTGAATGTATCAAATTGATCGGCCATCTCCTTCACTTCATGCAAACACTTTCCCTAGTTTCTGTTATAGTTTGTTTGGGTACATAGCAATGTGAACTTCAGAATCTTCCTTGTACGTGCATCCACTTTAATCTATGCATAAATTATCAGAAATTTAAGTATTAAAAGTTCCTTTATTTTTGTGAATAGAGTATGCTTAAACTGATTCACTAATTTTGACATTTAGGGATTCAGTTAATTATGATATTCCCAATGCAGCATGAATGCCAAAACTGATCTTATTACGAAGATGCAAATATACAGTAGTTTTGGTATATATTAAATCATATCAGGCGAATGACTTAATTCTTATATTGTTTAGACAAAGTATTGGAAGCACAGAAGAACGTTGGTAATTGTTTCTTGCAGTGTATTTATTTATAATATAACTGTTGATGCAGATGAAACATAAGCTGACTTCAAAGGAAGCAGCAATGTCTTCAATGAAGGAGAACTTTGAAAAATTGCTACAGTGGGAACAAGAAGAGAAAAGGAAGCAAGTGAAAAAGTTTAAAGAAGATGAAACCTCTTTGCTAAATCAGCTGGCGTCAGCAAATGGGACTACAGCAACTTTGCATCAAGAGCTAAAAAATGAGAGAAAACTAGTTGAGGAGCTTAAGGAACAAATGGGTCAACTTGAGAGCAGTTTTTCACAAACTGCTGCTGATAAAAAGCTACTTGACGCCAAATTTAGAGAAAAGGTAGATAGTTTTAATGTACTACAAGATAGAATAAGCCTTCTTAACTTGGAGATAAATGACAATGAGGAGGACATTGAAAGCCTCAAATTATCCCTTTCTGAAAATGAATCAGAATATAAGAAATTGGGCTCCAACGTGGAACACGTAAAAAAGGAGCTTGCTATTGCAAATTCAACTATTAAACAGTTGAAAGAGGAGATAATTGGAGCTAAAGCTGATTTAAGTTCAAAGGTATCTTCAATTGATACTTTAAATGAAAAAATTCGGTTGTTAAACTCGGAAAAGGATAAGTCCTTGCAAAGAGTTAAATATCTCATGAAAGATTATAATGATTTGAAGTCGTCTTCTGAGAGAAAAGCAGCTCTTGATGCTGAACTGTTATCTAAGAAAGATGATCAACTTCATCATCTTGAAGAAAAGCTTGAGCTTGCATTAGCTGAAGCAAGGAAAAAAAATGCCGTTGTCGCTGAGCTGAGGAAAGAAAAGGATGGTGTCAAATCATTACTGGAAAAAGAAGGTGTTAACATGAAGAAATTGAAAGATGATTTGCAGGCTACCCGAGAAGCATTGGAAGCTTCTAAACTTGAAGTTTCCATCGTGTCCAAGGAACTGGATGAGGCTAAAGGTTCATATGATAATCTTATGTGTGAGGTCTCAGAGATGCAGGATGGTTTCAATGAAATGGAGAAACTGTTAACTAGTAGTGTGGAAGAAGCTAAGTCTAGTTCAAATTTACTCTCTGATGAATTAGTCTCAGTTAAGGAGGCCCTAAGAAGAACCAAAGATGAACTTGATATCACATCAAAAGAATTGAAAGATGTTGTTGCGGACCGTAAGAACTTAAAGGAGGAATTGGTAGAAACGTACAAGAAACTGGAAGCCACCGTGCACGAGGTGACAGAAGAAAGAAAATTGGTTTCCACTTTGAATAGAGAGCTTGAGGTTTTGGGAAAACAAATGCAAAGGGACTCAGAAGCACTAGGAGCTCTTGAAGCAGATCTGGATGAGGCTACAAAATCACTTGATGAGATGAATAAGAATGCATTATTGCTCTCAAGAGAGCTAGAGAGCAGTAACACTCTAACTACTAGCCTGGAAGCAGAGAAAGAGATGTTGTTCAAGTCTCTCTCAGAGCAAAAGAATATCACAAAGGAAGCTTGGGAAAACATCAAAGACGCGCAGAACCTTATTCTGCTGCTTGGCAGTGAGAGAGAGAGCGTAGAGAAGAGGACCAGGAAGCTTGAGGAGGAGCTAGCATTTGCAAAAGGTGAGATACTTCGATTGAGGAGGCAGATAAGTTTGGAAAAGGAATCCGATGATCGCCTGCCGAAGACCACTGAAGTTGCAGCAGAAACTCCTATTACAGTGAGGAAGACTAGTAGTAGGAGGAAAAAGGGAGGATCCACCCGAGAAGTTTCTTAACTAACAATGAAATCTGGGATTTGAATCTCCTATTATTGCTTACAATTTCTAGTTTGGAATTTAGATTCACGACAACGTGCGTAGGCCGTGTGTTATTCGTCGATCAAGTGTTCTCAGAGATCTTTGTCTGATTTGAATCTGTGCCTGAGGCTTGAATTTCCGCACGGAATGATGTATAAAACAGATACAGTCATGAGAAGGTAACATAAACCAAATTTCGTGTATGGATGAAGCTCAAGCCATGAAACGATGTAAGGTTGAGATCTGCTTGTATGTGTTTGTTCTACACCCCAGAGAGCGAGAGCGAGGCTTTTCTGGCTTGCACATAAGAACTAAGCTTGCTTTAGTTTATTTATGCGATGATGATGATGGAAAGATAACACCAGTTTATGTTAGCTACAAAAGCATCCATTAGTATGCATGCTTGCTGATGCATTCCGGGAAATCTTATACGTAGTGGCGGCTTTGTCTTACCCATAGTCAATACACTCTGGTTATTATTCAGGTGTTTGCCTACAGAAAGAAGAAAGATGGGGGCCTAATGGCCGGACTGGACGGTTGCTTGCCTGAAACATACTGTTGTTCTCGACTATCTCATCGGGTGGGGTGACTGACACAACAACATCAAAATCTGACCAATGGAAGATAATTCGAACATATGGCTGTTACAAGAATTAGAGTGGATGCATGGCATATCCAATAAAATTTCCTTTCTGTAATCTTATCTTGCCCACAGATAAGGTGGTCAGAGGATGGGCCAAGTGTTATAAGATTGCTATGGGATCAAAATCAGTGGGTCATCTGCTGCCTTCCATCCCAACCTTTACTCGCGTGTGGGTCGTCGTCAAACCGGATGAAGCTATCACCGGCGGCCGAGTCGAAAAGGAAGACGGCAGATTAATGATCATCCAAAGATTTTGATCATGAATCTTTCTATACCTAATCTCGCTTGACTGAGGACTGTAGTGTCGCGATCTAAAGCTGGATCGATTGGGAAGACACAAAAGCATCACAATCTGTTTAGATTATGGATATAGATCGTGCGGGTAAAAAATAAAAGTATGACAAACACTACAGTTGATCTGAGAATAAATCTATATGTTGATTCATATCCGTAATAGAGAGACGCACGTGGGTGTCGTTGATTTTTGGGAATCAGACAACAACGTGGTTGTCATTTCAAAACCGAAATCCAGTCAGTTGTCGAAAGCGGCGGACCCACCCGCTTCACGCGTCGCACTTGTCATGTATAATTAATTATTTTAAATATTTTGATCTATATATTTAAAAATATATTAATATTTTTATAATTATATGTATTAAATATCTGATCTATTTATCCTCACATCGTTGATTTTATTAACGAAAATATAAAAATAAAAATAAAAAATAATTTTAATGTTCTAATTGGTATGGACGAAAGCATCAACAGTGATGGATAGTGATGCCATTAGGATTGCGAGTGATTATTATAGATGAGAAAAACGACGACGGGAGATAAGGATCGCTCGATAATTGCATCGGTATTAACACAGATATAAAGCAGTGTTGTTTTGCATGTGTTGGTGCTGACATAGTTATCGAGCAACTTTGCTTTATACCTGTATCGGCATCGACATAGATGATAGTGACTGTCACAGCATCTATGACGAAGATGGTGGTCACCTTGTTGCTAACCCATTAAGCGGATCACTCGACTTAAAGTTGGGGTCGTTAGAGTTTCTGTCGCTCCCCTCATTATTGTGTCACTTCCGACATGCATGAAAATGTGAGATGGGAAGCTCGTCGAAGTTCTACTTGGCGCTATTATCGTTGATGAGGAGGGGAAGTTATAGAAGGTTAGCATGCGAGCGGTTGTCAAGCTCTCAACGAATGATACAAACATGTGGGTCTCGGAATGTGATGCCGAGTGCGTCATCAGACCCATCATTGATATAGTTATTGAGTGGCCCTCATCATCGCTCATATTATCCACAATAGTTACTCGCGGTCCCCAACGGTATTACCGTCCACCATCACCCATTGAAACATTATTATTATCTTTTTATTATTATTATTATTATTATTAAAATTGATGAAATTAAAATAAATGGATCTAAATATTTAACTTTCATAATTATAGAAATACTAATATAATTTTTTTAAAATATAGAAACCATGATGATAAAGATAGCTAACTACAATAGATAATCTATAATTAGTCTTTGTCCTAATTAGCTAACTAGATGAGAACCAAGAAAAAATGACTTTTTTCTTTGTAACATTTAGTATCTCATGGAAATCAACCATAATAGAAGGATATACGCACGCACATGATGCAATAAAGCAACGGAGTCGGACGATGGCCGATCCCGCCTTGATCGAATCCATCACTTGCCTCACTAAAGAATCAAATAATGATACTCTCCGATCGAATGGTTAAGCAACGGAACCATACGAATGCTCGACCTCCAATGGTTAGTTAGTTTATTATCTCTCCGACGTTGGAGTTAATTGGACTCCTCAAATCACTCCATATTATATCAAATTCGTAGATCCCACAAACAAACATGACCATCATATCGTCAAGATTTTTATTTTGACCTTTCTGAAATGACTACTGCGTCTCCATCGATTCATCACTGAAAACAGATTAGAAATTACCAGTGCGATCACATCCAGCTCACAGTGGACGTGACGCATGCACACTGCACCGCTGCGGTCCTCCCTCGAGACCATCAAATGGACGAGTCACAATCCATCGTCAGACGTCCTTACCCGCTCAAAAATCTCCGCCCCTTCCGCCTCGGTATCCTCACAGCACAAACCATTCGACGTCGACAACGACGATACCAGACAAAATATGTCGAATTGGAACGGCACTTTGCGTGCTGCTTCCGGTGGACTCATCCGCGTGTCGCCGCCCGTTTTGTCTTCTCCGGTTTCTTAATCGAGCGTATCCCACCGCCACCGTCCACAAGGTCTGCAAACTGTCGCAATACGCTGTTGCGTATATAAACCTTCTCTCTTCCCTCGTCTTTTCTTCCCTGTAAAGAAATGAGTTCGGTCTTATCTCTTTCTGTATAGTCTCTGTTTTCGATAGCTTTGGGCTTCGTCATCTCCCCTGTGCTTGTTGTTGCGTTCGAGGTTTGCTGGTTTATGGAGGACGAGTTGATTCCAGGGTTGCCGCAGGAGATCGCCCGCGAGTGTCTCATCCGCGTCCCCTTCGACGCCTTCCGCACCGTTCAGGCCGTCTGCAAGCTCTGGAAGCACGACCTCGAGTCGGCGTCCTTCCACCGCCACCGGAAATCCGTGGGCCTTGACCGGCCCGTGGTCGTGCTTGCCCAGTCCGATCCCGCCCCGGTCGTCGCGGCGTCCGCCAACGGCGAGAAGTCGTACCCGTCCCGGTTGCTCTACCGCCTCGCGCTTTTCGAGCCGACAACCGGCGCCTGGAGCTCGCTGCCACCGATCCCCGGGCGGCCCCACGGCCTCCCGCTGTTCTGCCAGCTGGCCGCCGTCGGGAGGGAGCTGGTGGTTGTCGGCGGGTGGGACCCTCGCACCTGGGCCGCCTCCGACGAGGTACACGTATACGACTTGGTGTCCGGAGCCTGGCGCCGCGGGGCCCCCATGCCGGGCCCACGGCGCTCCTTCTTCGCGTGCGCGGCCTCGGAGGAGCGCGCCGCGGTGTTCGTGGCCGGCGGGCACGACGAGAGCAAGAACGCGCTGCGGTCGGCGCTGGCCTACGACGTGGCGGCGGACGCGTGGATGCAGCTGCCCGACATGGCGCGGCAGCGCGACGAGTGCCGCGGGGTGTTCGCGAGCGGCGGGTTCCACGTCGTCGGGGGTTACCCCACGGAGGCGCAGGGGCAGTTCTCGCGGAGCGCGGAGACCTTCGACGTCGCCGCCTGGCGGTGGAGCGCGGTGGAGGAGGGGAGGCTGGAGGAGGCTGCGTGCCCGCGGACGTGCGTGGTGGGCGGCGACGGGAGGGTGTACATGTGCCGGCAGGCGGGGCAGGCAGTGGTGCTGGAGGAGGGCGGCGGGGCGTGGCGCCGGGTGGCGGAGCTGCCCCGGGAAGTGCGGGTGGCGCTGCAGATGGTGGCGTGGGAAGGAGGGTTCATGGTGTTGGGGTCCGGGACCCAGCGTGGGGCCCAAGTGGCCTACATCGTGGATATTGAAAGCGGGGAGGGGAAGGGGATGAAGAAGTGGCGGAAGGTCGAGTTGCAGAGGGAGTATTCCGGCCATGTTCAAGCTGGCTGCTGCTTCCACATATAATAATCACATCAATTTTAGGGTGGGGATGGGGGAGTTTCGTTTCCGTCCTCTCTCCCGCATGATGTAAATTATACGTACATACATGCTTTTACTTCCTTTATTTTTATTGTGATTTTTGCCATGATTTGCATGCTGATAACAAATAGATTACTACTGATCCATATGTAGCTCCTCTGGGCACTCGCGAGTTCGAAGAGACGACGAACAAAAGGACCCAAATGACTTGTTACAATAACTATTTCACTATACCAAATTAATGATTGTACAACATAAGGCTACCGTCTCCATGAAGAAGTGAAAACACAAGAAGGTATCCTCAGGTTAGATTTGTACTGTGCTGGGAGTGTGTCTACGAGAAATGTCACGGGTGATCCTGTTCTAACATGGCAAACTAACTCTAACTCTTAACTCGATCACATGACACATTGGTACCATTAAAAGACAGCAACTATGTTTATTTCGGAGTTCAACAAAATGGAAGACGCAGGGCTTTACCGCAGGGGTTGTTGATAATAGTGGTTCTTTTCTTTCTTCTTGGCGGCAGCAAGCTTGGCACTCCTTGCAGCAGCTTCAACAGCTGCAGCTCTTGCGGCTCCATCCATCTCTTTATTTGATTTCTTCTTTTTCGTCGAAGCTACCTTCTTTATTTTCTCCTTGACATCAACCGCAGATGCATCTTCCTCTTCGGGTTCGGTGTTCCGATCCCGATCGGAAGGCTGTTCCTGTGGTTCTTTGGTGTCCTTGGATGATTTATCTTTCTTTGCCTTCTTTTTCTTGGAACTTTTGCTTTCTGATGGCGCAGGCGCAGGTGCAGGTGCAGGTGCATTTTCCTTTTTATCTCCATCTACACTTTGCTCCAATGCAATATGCACAAACCCAGAGTGATCATAATATAGAAGCATGCGTGATAATATTTCAATGAAAAGTATAGTGATGCAAAAGCTTAAGCATTACCATTTGTTTCATGTTGCACAGAATTACTATCTTCGACTGAGATACCCAGCTCAGCCAGAACTGCATTTAGTTCCGCCATTTCTTTTTTCTTCAGCTCCTTTTTTGATAGTTGTCGATCTGTATCTTTGGTCGTTACTGGAGCAGGAACAGGCTTCTCAATGACAGGTTCGGTCGCGACAGGAACCTCATCTTCATGTTCAGGCTCCTCCTCTACATCAGAATCATCACCCTCGTCAAGGCCATCATCTTCACCTTCGCTTTCCTAAAGAACAAAAATAAGCTTGCTCAAATATAACCAAGTGACCGGAAAAAGCCATACATGTGAGAACGAATTACAAAAGAGATGTGAGGCAGCTCTTATTCCTATATCAAAATCATTGACCACAATCTACAAATAGCACATGAGAAGGATTTTAATAAGCAATAAACTCGGACAAACGAGAATTTCGTAAAACATATGCTCATATCGAGCACTCAGACATAGAGACAAATGCGTTTTAGAAATCGATTATCAGCATGAATCTTCAAACATACCAAATTAATTTTCCAAATTTCCTTCACCCATCATTCTAGCAACCTGTAATTTTCAGTTGAATCAACTTGTAATCTCCAAGGTCATTCTTCTAATTCTACTTACTCAGCTACAAATATTATTAATTTTAGGTCACATCAATAACATGGTAGACTTGAACAATGTAAGTGACACAGAAAGCATCACAAACAAAATTTACATCCAGACAATGAGGAAAAAATAATTGAAAATTATGTGCATAAATTTCCACATATGGAGAACAATAAAGGACATGAGTTAATTCTTAAGATCAAGGGTGAATTCTTGATGCAACTAGGAAAAGGAAACAGATATCTATGTGGAAAAAGCACCATCATAACTCCATCTAATTACTCAGCAGAACTATTCCAATGCAGCATATTTACACATTACAACTTTCATAGCATTTAACGGCCCAAACTTGTGATATGAGGACTCTGCCAAAACTCTCTTGAAGAAGAGATAGGAAAAGCAGAAATTAGCACCTAGGAAAAGTCGTTGACAGGAATCAAAGAGAAGACAGTTGTTCAGTATAATTTTTGTGAACTAAAACCTTTATGTTGTTCTTTCCACCATGATTACAAAAAATTTGAAAAGAATAAAAGATTCGCCAGACTCCTATAGGAGAAATATCTTTGATTTCTCTGATATTTCAGAAGCAATCTAGTGAAAAACTGCTCATGATCTTCTTAGTTGACATTCCAATATGAAAATCTAAGTAAACAATCAAAAACATCATCAAATTCTCTTCAGATATGGAACTCTGGCCAGTAATTTATTGTAACCAATCCATTAACCTAGATATTAGATTATAGAATCACTAGCAACCCGAAGTACATTTAGATTAAAGTAACTACAACATCTGCCCTTTAAAAAGAAAACAAAATTTGACTTCACTTTTAATAATCCTCCAAAAATATGGGACGAAGTCTCACTGAGGCTGTCATATATCAGAGTAAAACAAGAGGTTCTGGATTTCTTCATCAATATCGAGGGGGTGAATTGTCATATACCTGCAAACCATTCATCAAAAAATTAAAAAAAATAAACCCTATTTCTTCTGAAAAATTTACCACATAGGAGATATGAACTAATGCATTTCTAGGAAAGATTATCCATTTTTTCAGTTGTACGGTTGACGAGAAAAACCAGCCCTTGGTCAATGAAATTTGTTAAAGAAGAAAAGAAAGTCAAGCAGATGCAAAATCGAACTTTGCTTCTTCTGCAAGTAGTAGAGCCATAGAAATATGACATCAAAGATGAAACTGGAAAAAGAAAGCAACTTATCTTTTTCGGCTTTACATAGTAATAATATCTTTCATCAAACTAAGATTTATTATTGCCAATAAAACTCTTCTTCCATCATGCACGATGATTTCCAATTCTTAAGATTTAACTTTCTCATGACAAGTCACAGCTCTCCCATGATACTACTAACAGTGTTCATTAAAGCATCCTCCAGTATTTTTTTCCCGAGCATCTTCCAGTATTCTTTTTCAGATTCCACAATTTGTAACATTATTCCATTCCAAACAACTGATGTTCGTTGATTTGTTACTCTGTGTCAAAGACATTTTCGCGCATTAAATACTTGCTGCATTCTTAGGCGGTTAGTACATATGGATGAGCTGTTCTAGACCCTCCCAAAATTCTATTGTTCTCTTATGTATCATATTCTAAAGAAAAAGATCAAATTTAAAACTGATCATCCACAGGCTCTGTTTTCTTTTCATGGCATCTCTATACCCTATTGGCCAACCAGCAAATAAGAAAGACGATAATTATGGAAAGGCATCAATGTCAGACATTCATCAACCAAACAAATATTTCTGAGCCAACAAGTTTAAAATTGCATCTCAAACCATTGCCACACCAATACCATACATCTATTATAAAGCCAAGCATTTCATATTGCACATATAAATCCTAACAAAGAAATATGGAATCTAAAATACGCAAACCTCCTCAACCACGGCTGTGGCTTCCCTGTTCTGCCGTTGCTCCGTCGAACCCCAGACAGATTGTGGCGGGGCCGTGGTGGTGTAGTAATCGTCGTCATCGTCCACATCGGCCCAGGACTTCGCAGTCAGCGGCGTCGGCGCCCAGAACACCTGCCGCTGCTGCTCCGACTCCTTGGTCTGGTTCTTGGACGATCCCTTGCCCTTGGCTTCCGTGTCCGATTTCTTCTTCTTCTTCTTCTTAAGCGTCTCTAGCGCGGCGAAGACGTTGGTGCTGCTAATCTTCAAGGCTCCATCGTCCCTCTTGCTTCCACCTCCTACCATCTCTCAAGCACTTCTCCGACACCGAGAATAATCCAGCCTACGGCTTCCCAAACGGAGACTGAAGGAATGAGAAAAGGACTACTCTGACCTGATCTCGGAGATAAATCGACGGATTGGGTCAATCTCCTCGATATCGACGGTCCGATTGCTTCCAACAAGGAACACGAGATATCTTGCAAAATTCGAGGATCTTGGGAGGAGGGAATCGGCCGACGAGGGTGACGACGAGAGGGGTGGATAGGCGATTAGGGAATCGAAATCTAGTGCAGGTGGATCACGGGATTGGATTTAGGGTTCAGTAGAGAAGCGAAGCGATCCAGAGTGAGAGCGAGCGAGAGAGAGAGAGAGAGTGACGAACAGACACCGCTCGGTGTTGGACACAATCGATCGGCTCTCTTCCTTTTTATTTATTATTTATTTATTTATTTATTTATTATTATTATTATTATTATTGTTATTATTATTACGGACACAGAGGGAATGAGGTGTAGGGAGATGCCGCCCGCACGCCCACTCAGCGTCTCGATGGATGTTTCTCTCGCGGCAGGCTGTGCTGCGGTATCCACGCGCGGGCGACGGACACAACTCGACCAAATGACGAACAGGTGGTGGGCAATCTCATATCAATTTGGTAGCGTCTCATTGATTTGGGATCGTAACAGTAACAGGCACAGATCACATCGCATGCTTCCAGAAAAACAACACCTCCGTTGCCCACAAACAATTCTTATGCAATAGTAGCAGAACTGCTGAAACAATCCATTATAATAACATTTTGTCTATATATTTACCAATTCACATTTCGAGATTGCGTAATTCTTCAGTTCGATCATGTAAATAGTTTCTTCTTCGTCGACCATATGCCCCCAATGATAGCACACGAGGTTTTGCTGGTACCGTCAGCCCTCCCGTGCACTCCAAAGATGCACTTTGCCCCGTGTATGCACCGAAGGGCAGGCAGCTTCGTGGACTTTGCGATTCCCTGCAGCCATGTTCGTCGTCACCAGCTCTTAATCATCTTCCAAGAGAAGACCCATCGCTCGACCGAGGAGGAGTAGCATTAGCGAGTCCGCGATCAGTCAGTCGGACAGGCTGTGGGCGTGCCAACAGAGGAGCATCGACACGCACCGGCGCAGGATGTAGAGCCGCGTCCTCTGCTGCTTCACCATCGTGAGGCACCTCCGACCAAGGCCGGCGTCGTCGGTCGATCGCCGACGTGACTCCGTGCTGACGGAGCCGTAGCTGTGGCCGGGGGAAACAGCCATAGCAGGCGGAGAGGATTAGTTGAATGACGAGAAGCCAGCTCGGTTGTTTATAACGCATGCACCGAGCGACTCTCTCTCTCTCTCTCGAATGGCCCCATCGCCATCGTCACGTCCTAACGCTTCCGTGTGCAGGTTTGGCATGCTTTGCAAGGAACGAGAGAGATGAACATGGATTAGCCTTGTTGTTTAGCGTTGTGATAATGACTAATGATGAGATGATGTAGAGATTATGTACCCCACGATCCATAATATCGAGTCATAATGGCAACGCCATGACGTGCGTTCCACCATGGAAATATATGCCGAAGCATATTGGAGGTGAAGACAAAGACCGAGTCAGATCCAACAGTTCTTGTGGCGTCTTCAGGTTAGGTATCGATCTGTATAATATTGAGGACTACGTAGCTACTCAATTGCTTTGCCTTTTAAATATGATTTATCAGTTGTCGATTTGATGCCTCATCCACAATCCCATTTCTTAATCCAAAGGACAAGCTATGATGTCAGGGCCTGCAAGCTTCAATTAGTGTGATGGAGACATCCGAGAAGACGAGAAAGCGAAGCTTGTACTTTTGCTTAACCACAGGGGTATCTGTACCATAAAATACTGGAAGATACTTATCATGATGGCACCTCAATCATGGATCATTGAGCAATCAGGTGATGTTTCATCTTTAGGTTGCTTCAGATCAAAGATGAATATATGGGAAGAATAATGGTACATTTGTGGATTGACAACAAAGGAATACATGTTTAGGGAGGATAATGATCCTATACACAAAAAGAAAGATGGATTATTCCATATATATCTCGTGATATGGACATTGCTCGGTGGATTTGGAAGAAGAATGTGGTGCTGGCTCATCTTCTCTGGAAGTTGAACACCTTGATCGAGAAGGCGAAGACGAAAGCAAAGAGCACGGTGAAGCCGACCACTGCAACAGCCACGACGCCCAGGAAGTCATGCCGGAACCCGAAGAATCGCCTGACGTATTCCTCCACCGACTCACCACCCTCCATTATAGTTTGGTTGTCGCCGAACTGTGAGGCAACGAGCCCATACAGCGTCCACGCCACCGGGCAAGCCCACGAGTACCATCTCCACCACACAGGGATCCTCTGCAACCAGCAAGCAGCAGCCTCGATCAGCACCTCGATTCTTGACAAGGAAGTGTGATTCGAATGGGGTTCAAGTAATACTTACAGGCCGAGGAATCAGAAAGCCGGCGAATATGTTCCAGATCGCGTAGAATGCGGTGGAGACGATGGCGGCGATGTCGCTGTTCGGCGTCATGGCCACCGCCATCATCCCGTAGAACGTGAAGTACATGAAGGTGAAGAACATGAAGAAGAGGTACCAGAAGAACTTCTCCATTGTCCACTCAAAACCAATCATACTGTAGACGATGAGTCCGTATAACACAGTCTGGAGGAAGATGTGCGGGATCTCAATCAAAACCTGCAGGGATTGGAGTAACGTGAGGAGTGAACTTGGACTAAGAACCGAAAGTTGAGTTCGTTGGAACAGAGCCAATACCTGCGCAAATGCATAAGGAAGAGCAGAGTACATCCCTGCAGCCTTCTCTCTGTAGAAGACGGTTCGCTCTACGTCGACGATCGGTTGCACAGTTTGGCCATTCTGTATCCCGATGAAGAGGACTGCAGCGTACATGGAGCCCAAGGAGTTCAACAGGTCCTGCTTCGTCGTCCTGTAAGAGTTTTATGCCATTAACGAGAGAGCTCTTCCATTGATAGATCTAAAGAGACCGAACAGAGAGACCTACACTTTCTGTCCGAGTTTCCAGAAGATTGTTCCAAATATCAAGGCGATGACAGTGGTGAAGAAAATTCTGGTGGCAGTGTAAGATGGATTTCGCCAGTATGACTTGTGCTGCTTCCACAAGCAAGCAATGCATTGTGTGAGGAAGGATTGCGAGTACTGGGTGGGAAAGAACAGGTCTTTTGAACCAGGAGGAGGAGCACTTAGTTCGCCGATCAAAGCTTTGTTTCGCCTGCAACAATTCGGACCACAGAGTGAGCACCATATCTGCTATAACACCAAATGCTATCACTACAGTTTCAGGCTTGACCTACCTGTGCAAGTCAGAGTTCTTATAGATCTCAGCAAAGTCAACGCCTAGCATTTCTTCCTGGGCCAAAGTGGTCACCTCCAACATCCATGTTGCAGGATTGTAGCCATCTTTGATCTTTCGAACCCCTTCAACTCCCTAGACAAGATTAAACACACAGCGACATTAAGTGCCAATGATACAGAAGCTCATGAAGAAGCTCTCTTCTTCTTCATGTCGTGCGAAGCAGGGCTCACCTCGAAGTAGTTGATCAAATGACATGAATTGCGCCCCAAGGGACCAACATATATTTCTTCCCCTCCTCGTTTCATCAAGAAGAGCTGCAATGTTACAGAAATAAGATGTCAATTTCCGCACACGAACATATGGAGAGATTAGACCGAACTGCAGTTGGTTTCAGTGACACTGCACCTCATCGAAAGCTTCGAAGATGTCGATGCTGGGCTGGTGGATGGTGCACACCACGGTCCTCCCTGTATCCACAGTGTTCCTCACTGTTCTCATAACAATGGCGGCAGCCCTGGCGTCCAGCCCAGAAGTCGGCTCATCCATGAAGATGATCGAGGGGTTGGCAACAAGCTCGACAGCAATGGTGAGCCTCTTGCGCTGCTCCGTCGACAGACCATTGACGCCGGGCAGTCCTACCAGCGCCCCCCGCAGCGATGTCAGCTCTACCAACTCCATGACCTCCTCGATGAACATCTGCACCCAAATATTACGATTGAGCAATCGGTAATGTACAGAAGCGGATAAATGGATTCCTCGAAGTATAGAGGCACCTACTTTTCTTGTTTCAGCGTCGACTTCAGGAGGCAATCGAAGCCATGCGGAGTAGAGGAGAGATTCATAGACTGTGACATGGGGAGAGTGGATGTCATTCTGTTCACAGTAGCCAGAGATTCGAGCAAATGTTTCTTGTTTCTTGGGATAGCCAGATATGCAGATGTTTCCATCTATGTATCCACCGGTCTTCCTGCCGGCAAGCACGTCCATTAGGGTGGTTTTTCCTGCTCCACTTACACCCATCAGGGCTGTGAGAACTCCTGGCCTGAAAGCTCCACTGACACCCTTCAGTAGCACTAGCCGATCCTCTTCGATGCCTTTGTCTTTCATTTCCTGTCAGAGTCAAAGAGTTTAGCATCTTTAATGTTGTTTGTGCGAACATGTTTGCGAGATTACATGTTGGGGAGAAGATGAACCTGTGGCATGTCGACGGAGTATTGGATGTCGTCGAAGGTGATCGAAAGAGGAGCAAAAGGAAGCACCATCCCCTTCTTCCGGTTCTCTGTGGACGATTCATTTCTTGTGGCCCTTCCACCATCTCTCCCTGCATTTAGACACGAGTGATCTCAGAACTTTAGCGTCGTTCTCGCTTGTTTGAGCCGTAGAATCTATCAGTAGTTCATGACCAACCTTTGGCGGCTGCAGGCAACATCTCAACACGCTCGCCAGTCCTGTTTGCCTGTTTCTCCTTCAGCTCCTCCTCAGAGATGACTGCCTGACCTTTTCCTAATGCTGCATGAATCAAGTTAGGAATTAGTATGTATGATGACACTCCTCATCAAAGATCTCAAGCTGTTCATAACTCGTAGACACTCACGATCAAGCCAGTCGAGAAAGAAAACGAAGAGGATGTTGAACAAGAAGATGTATCCAAGCAATCCACCCGCACCAATCCAGTACCAGTTCGAATCGACAAAGATTCCACGAGCGTGGAGGATTTGGACTCCCAATGTGTCAGGACTCTCCGTTAAATTAACCTGTGCCGAACAGAGAATTCAGTTTGAAAGAAATGCCAAGATGATCGGTGAAGATTGTTGTTTGATGCACAAAGAGAAGATCAAAGAATGAGAAAATTACCTTTTGCCAGCTATGGCCAAGGAATTCGTTCACTGCGATGGCATTCTGAGCATACATAAGAGGAGATGACCAGTAGCCCCAAATCCACCATTTCTTGATATGATCTGCGAGGAAGGCGAGGAACAAGTAAGCACCGGTTGGTGTTGCCGAATTGGAACCGAGAGATCGTCACTGCACCGATGAGGTAAAAGATCTTTACCTCGAGATATTAGGAATCCGCCGAGAACTAAAAGAACAAGCTGTGCAAAGGATCCAAAAGTGTCTGCAACCACCATCTCCCTCCCGAGAGCAGCAAGGAGCCGAAAGAGTCCAGATGCCATCTGACTGATTAAGACCAGCAGCAGATAATGTCTGAAGAACCTGCAGGACGACAATGTTTATGGCATCAAAAGATGCGACGTCGAAGACATATCCTGGAAGAAGTTGCTGCGTTTCAAGCAATCCAACCTTTCGATGTTTGGATCGAAACCGATGACGTAGTACGTCATGCCAATCCACACCGCACACTCCAGAAAGGAGATGGGGATCTTCAGAATCCATGTCGGCAGCGCATAGGCCCATGAAGGGTAGAAGAGGAGGTCCCTCTGCTTGTAGAATATGGGAAGCTTTGCGATGCTCATGGCAAGCTCAGCAAACCCATTGAACAGATGCGTAACCAGCCCCAGAAACATGGCTCCTAAGAAGATAACTCCATCCTCCACCGTTTTACGAGGCATCTTCGTGCGGAGGAAGACCGTCATCGCGATCGTTCCAAGAATTATAAGCTGTTCACAGGACAAAAGGAATCAGGCAAGGCTTCAGATCAGTAGAACTGTGGTGTCGTCATCATGGCTATGCGATTACTCACCTGCACCACTTTGAAGATGTAAACGAAGGAGTTGCGCTTCATCAGCAGCCACTCCCTCGAAATGGAAGCTTTGAGCAGCTCCGTCTTGCTAATCCCGTACTTTGTGGTGGTCAGCGCGGCAGGGTGGTTTCGTTTCCTATCGAACGGCACGCTGAGCTCTTCCCCGAGCTTGCGGCCGACATGGAACGTCTGAAACGCTTCTGCGAACTCGTTGACTGAAACGTACCTATAAGGCTCGTCTTCGATTGACCAGTATTGGTGCTGATCCTTTCTTGAGGTGACCTGTTCATCCGAAGAGGCATCAGCATCGAATCATCGATGAAATCGCGCCCAAACAGGAGTGAATTAATTGCTACTTACTTCCTGCAAGAAGTCTGCAACACCTTTCCTTTCGGGACACCTGAAACCCATCTTTTCGAAGAACTCGAGGACATTCTCGCGCGGACCCTGGTAGACGATTTGCCCCTCGGACAGGAGAATGATGTCGTCGAACAGGTCGTACGTCTCGGGAGCTGGCTGAAGCAATGCAATGAGGGCAGTTCCTCCGAGGATGTGAACGGATTGGCGGAGGGAGTTGACGATCTGGTAGGTGGTGGAGCTGTCGAGACCAGTGGAGATCTCATCCATGAAAAGCGCCTTGGCCGGTCCAACAAGCATCTCACCTGCAACACAACCATGAGAGGGGCTTTACTCATGTGTTTGCTCTTCCTCTTGTCCCCGTGTTTGATTCTTCTCACTAGAATTTACCTGTCGTCACGCGCTTCTTCTGTCCACCAGAAATCCCCCTTATCATTGCATCTCCTACCATCGTATCGGCGCATATTTCCAGACCCAGGATCTGTGAAACAAGAAATTAGCTTCTCTTCTCTGCCTCGATGTAATCTGATTTGCAGTAGTATCATCTTGTTCTTTGTAATGGAACATACCTTGAGAATATAATCTGTGATCACACTCTCCTGGCCTTCAACGGATATAGCCTGTAGGCATCGCAAATCACGTTCAGCAAACGAAGGATGATAATTCTGGAGGTATTAGTTTCTTGTGTCACCATATCAAGATCGACTGAGCGGGTTTCTTACCTTCATGTAGACATCTATGTCAGGATCTGGCTTGATGTTTGCTTCCTTTTCTCTTCTCGACAGCTCTGTCAACATGTCTGCAGCGCAGTACGCAACTCATAAGTTCTCTGTTCTTCACAAAAGTGTTAGCCAAAATATTCTCTTCTTGACCTACCATAGCGAGTTCCGACTCCCTGGCATCTCGCAGAGAAATTCAAAGTCTCTCTCACCGTCATCTCCCCTATGTGAAGATCATGCTGCCCGATATAAGCTGAGGTCCTCTGAGGCACAAACTCATCCATGTCATGACCATTGTAAGTCAGTCTTCCAGATTCCTGATATGGGCAGATGATCCACTCTGTTAGAATGACTCGTTGATGTTTTAGCAATCTATCTTCGGTTCTAATCATGTTTTTGTTATGTTACCTTCAGAGTTGAATCAAGCTTTCCTGCCAGAGCTAACAACAGGGTAGTCTTCCCAGAGCCCGGGGGACCTAAGAGCAGAGTCATTCTGGATCATACAGAAGCATGTCAAGCTGTGTGGGAACTCGGAGAATTTGTGAAGATGGTGGATAATCTAGTTTGTGGATCTCTTTTTCTTACCTGCAAGGTCTAATGATCCCACTGATGTCGTGAAGGATCGATAGCGGCCTCTTTCCGCTTGGAACCATATGAAGGTAACTCAGCACATCCTTCATTCGCAGAAGCCAGAAACAGATTCAGAAAACACTACACAAGCAGTATCGAAATTTTCTTGTTGGAAGTCTGAATTACCGCGATCTTGTTGTAGAAGAAGTTGAAGAAGGTTGGAACGCCACGGTTCCCCACGTAGGCTTCTGCATCAACAGTGAGATGCTCGAACCTGACCTCGATCGTTGGGTTGTCGATGCCAACTCTGCAGGAGGGATATGGATATCAATCAACGCCAGCACCATTACATGTAAGAAGACTACAAACCGAAGCAGAAGCTCACCTCTCCATTCGATTCCGAAGCTTGAGAAGAAACCTCTCGTTGTCCTCCTCGGCGGTCCTCACTAACCTCTCCAGCAATTTCTTCCGGTCCTGCATGCCAAGATCCTGAATGTCCACTTCCTGCTTGTCTCCGGCTTCTCCTGTCATGATCCCCTTCCTCATGCGGTCGTAGGTGGGCAGCTTCTCGAGCGCCGCCCACTTCAAGGCCTCCTCGTCATCTTCGTCCCGACCCGACCTCCCGAAGACGTCGGCAGAAGAAGTTCGCCACGAGGAGACCGACCGCCGTATGCTCCCTCTCATGCTCCCCCCGATGCTTCCCAACCTGTAGTTGCTATCCATGCTTTCGATCTCAGACTACCTCACCTAGCAGCTCCACCGAAAGCTCTACAATCGGCACCGGGATTGCACAGGCCGCAGTGTTTATCTCCGAGACGTGGTTTCCCTATGAACAGCCGGACATGGACGTCCTATCTTCCCTCCTTCTGGCGGAGAGAATTCAATGGTACAGGTGGGTCTGTTAGCAGTGAAGACAATGGCCGTGCTCTGGGGGTCTAAATACGGGTTGTGATGATGGCATCAAGTCCAAAACTCTCAAGCCAATGGCGAGAAGAAGTCATCGACGAAGCTTCCCGGTCAACCGTAGCACGTCTACGTTGACCGTTGAGGTTTGAATCCAGAGCAATCCGACGGCACCACTCGCAAGTCCTCGGTCGCTCCATTAAAGCTGAAGCCATCCTTGGTCAAAGTGACCGGAAGAAATCATGAACGCTGCCATTTCACCAAACAGTTTTAACTCTAATCATCGTGAGTGGATTCTGCCGTATGAATCACTCCGGGCTGCTGTTTCCAGATGCTAGCGTACGAGAGCCGCAACAGAGCACCCAAATGGTCTTCGGGGACGGAAGAGAGAGACCAGAATGAGTAAAACCTTTCGGCATTTAGTCTCTGTCAGCCTGCCGTTCTTTAATTGCTCCATTATTTCTGCCATCCACAGGTCAATGATCATGGAAATGACTCCACTGCTCATGCTTGCTTGGCATCAACTCTAAAGAATCTCTGAACTGTGCTTGGAACTTTGGGTTCGGCTACGATTCATGTGGAATACATGAAGAACCAGCATCTTTATGAACCTGTTTAATTCAAAAAATAATCATATTTAGAAGGATGTCGACATGTTATTTGCAATTCGATTGGCACTTCTGTTTTCTCCTGCTAAAAGTCAATTTCGGCCTTCTGACATCGACCCAATAGGTCAGAGGCAGCTCAACCACATGCTGCCGGCTCATAAATATGGCCGTATATAATAATCAGAAACTACCCTATCTATTTAATTATTCACATCGGCTACAGTTAGCTATCTTTTTCATTGTTTGAGAAAAGTTTGATGGGGTCGATTTGAATAATTATATTCTCATTATTTACTGTCCAAAGCGCATCTCTCGATCACGGCCCTCCGAATCCAATCTCTGATCTGTGCGTCGACCGTAACGCACAACGCACGGCAGACGTGGTCACGGGTCTCAATTAGCTCAGGGGTCGTGTGACGCTTTTGACCCGATCACGTGCATCCGATCCGGATCGGACGGCTTCGGTGGCGTCTTCTGATGGCCGCATCTCGCGGGTCGCGGTTGTGATCTCAAGCATCGACTTGGACCGGGTCTGCGTTGGCTTCTCCGACTCTGTTGACCGTTCCATCCAGCATTGGAGAAAAGACGAGGTTTTGGAGCTTTCATCTTCTTCCTCCGTGGGCTTGCTTTGCTCCTAAGCCACCCAGTGCTGACATGAAGATGATGGAGGTCAAAAGGTTCTTTTTCCATTTCTGACCTATTCTCTAGATTTGCTCTGAGAGCTTAAGCAACAACTCAACAGTGATACACTGTGGAGGATCAGGTCATAGTTTTGCATGCAGCAGCATATAATTAGGTTCCCTAATAATATTATCATCCTGGCATTTGGACCTAAACTTAGCTGCCTGTGATTCTAAACTTTCCAGGTTCCCAGTGCCATCACTAAGACTTGCTTAGCAGAGACTATGTCAACTGTCAACTTCACATCGTAATCTAGCTGAATCAGTCTGTAACTGGTCTTCGATCATCTAGGCAGAGAAGGTAGCCTATTTCAGCAATGCCTTTTGCCGTGTTTAGTGATAACATCATGAAGGGGTAGCACTCTGCTATAAGTAGGACCTTATGATTAAACTGAACTCTCTTCTTAAGACATCTAATGCTTGGAACTGAAGCATTGACTTTCTATATTATGTGCATGGTTGAGAAATTTTGTGAAGGAGATAGTCAAGCGATCTATAATACTACAGAATTCTCAAGAATTGACTAAGTATGCCATATTGTGATGAAAATTTTCTCATCATCAATGCACTTTTGGACCCACAGGATTCATCCTGCAGCGTTCTTGACCTCCTGAAGTCTCATCTCTAAGATATCAGTGAATCTTGATGGTAGTGTCAACAATTGGGTTAACTTGCAAGTTTGAATGAGCAATATGTGATCCGAACATTTGAGTCACCAGTTCATGATGATTTCCATTCAAAAGCAAAAGTTGCCCTACTCTTTCATCAATCATTTCAGCTGAAACAAAGTAGGAAAAAAATTCACACCATCATTGTGTTCTACACCTAAACAAATCAGGATAATAAAGTTGTGTTCTACACATAAATTCATTGTATTCAACCGAATATATGAGAAGAAACAATCTGCACTTGGAAATTTGACCAACATAATGGGTTATTGGCAACAAGTGAGAGAGTAAACAGTTCATTAACATGTCATGACTATATAATAATCGATGGAAGAAGAACTCACACATATGTTTGATGTTAAGAACAACAGCATTAGTATAAAAAAGAACAACCTGCAAAATGGATTAAAGAAATGATTATATAGACAGCTTCAGGATGAACAGCACCAGAATCCCCTGGTTCCACCGCTTGCATCTTTGGTATCCCCCAGTAGAACTACAGTCTTTCCATTCGTGAGTGAAGGCATCTCATGCTTCTGTTGCTCCTGAGATAGGAAGACCTTCCTGCTCACTGCGTGGTAGATCTCCTCCACTACAGTCTGAAATGCTGCTGCAACATTGGAGGAGTCCAGTGCAGAGGTTTCCATGAAGAAAAGGCCTTGAGCCTCAGCTAGGGTCTTGCCCTCTGCGGTACTAACCTCCCTTGCATCCTTGAGATCAGTCTTGTTGCCCACCAGAATGGTCACGACATTCATGTCTGAGTGCACTGTTCAATGTTCATTTGTTTTAACAAGAGATAGAATTTTCAGAATTAACATGGAAATCAGAGGTTCCATCGTTCACAATGTGCTCAAACAACCACAGAACTAATGTTCAGCATTACTTACTGTGTAGTTCTTGTAACCACCGGCCAACGCTATCAAATGTCTGATGCCTGCTAACATCGTACACCAGAAGAGCTCCGACGGCTCCCCGATAATATGCAGATGTAACAGCCTTGAAGCGCTCCTGACCGGCAGTATCCCATATCTGAGCTTTGACTTCCTTCCCATCAATGTCCATCGTTTTGGTTTGGAATTCGACCCCTATGGTGGACTTGGAGTTTGGGAAGAACTGATTCCGGGCAAATCTAGCTAGCAAATTCGACTTTCCAACAGCAGAGTCACCGATCAGAACAATTTTGAACAGATAGTCCTGACCCTGCTCTTCGTTTCCACTATATTCCATCTTTGTACTCAACTAGGTTGCTCCTCCTAGTGCAGGAATCTGATACATGTAACAAAAGAGAACGGGCGGCGATCATGCTATGAAACATGAGCAGATGATTCAAGAGCATCACCACGGCATTACTACCACAGATTCATAGACAACAGGAAGCCACTAAATCCACAGGAATCAAGACCAACGTCGACTACTTCCTTACCTCTTCGGATAACGAGCACCAAATCACGCCCAGGATCGGATCTTCGCCCTTGTATAGCTATCCCTCCGTTCTTTGGCGAGGCATTCATCAAGGGTTAGTCGCGGAGAAGGGGAAAGGGATCGAAGAGGGGGAACGATTTCTTTGGGAAGACGGGAGGGTTTGGTGCTTTCCTTTACGAGCAAGGCAGAATAGCGTCAGGTAGCCTGCACTGCCGCACCTCGTCTCGTAACAGAAGGGGACGTAGCTTGCCTAAGATGACTCGCGCTGACGGTGTACTCGGCTGTCAAACCGTTACAACCGACGCTGCAACGACATGACGGACGAGTTAATATTTATGGCGTATGAAGGTAAATTAAAAGGCGGATCTAAAATCCATAAATAAGCAGGTGCGGTCCGACCCAATCAAGTGCAATACGATCAGCCGTTCTGACCAAATGTCATACTCGGATGGGCATGACGCCGAACCCGATTCGGATCCAAACTGCGTTATGCGATGATTCATTCCATTTAGCTGCGATCTCATCAGTACCGTATCGACTGATGAGCGGATATTTACAAGCATATCATGATCCGAGTGCAGTACCACAAGTGTAATGCTAATGACAGGAGTTCCAAAGAGTCACGGACCCCACCAACGTTGACGGACTGCAATGAACAACAGCGACCTATTTAGTACAGCCATTCATTCATTGGGCCAGCTTCATGCTAGCTTTGATCTGTTGTATCAAGAGGGTGACGTTCTCACACGAGGAGCCACCTTCTTCCACAGCCGCCCTCGCCTTGTGTCCCAATTCCCTTGACCTGTTCCTCATTGCTTCCCCTTCCTCCCCTTCTCCCATCAAGCGAGACACGGCCCTGACCATGTCATCCTTCTTCACCAGCACCACATCTTTGTCCACTTGCCAAGGAGTCATGGTCTTGACTCCAATGGCAACTCCAGTTCTCAGCACCTCCACTATCAACTTCTCGTTGAGGAACTGTTCCGCGAAGTGTGGCCATGTTATCATCGGCACGCCAAAAGCTATGCCTTCCAACAACGAGTTCCAGCCGCAGTGCGTCATGAATCCTCCGATCGCCGGATGCGACAGGATCATCACTTGAGGCGCCCAGCCTCGAATGATAAGGCCCCTCGAGCTTGTCCTCTCCTCGAACCCTTGTGATAGCCATGTCTCCACCTCGGCGGATCTGTTCCCGGCTTTGATCACCCACAGAAAGGGGCAGTTTGAGGCCTCCAAGCCCAGTCCTATCTCGATGACTTGAGAAGGCGAGGTGCGAGCGAGGCTGCCAAAGCTCACATAAATCACAGAGCTCGGTTGCATGGAGTCGAGCCAGCGCAGGCATTGCGCCTGATCGATGGACGCTTTGTTTCCTCTGGCGGCTATATAGGCGGCATCTCTGTTGCACAGAAACATTGGACCAATCGTCCACACCTTCTTCCCGATGACCTCCTGATACTGATCGATGCACGGAGCTTCCAAGTCACTGAAAGTATTCACTACAACACCATCGGACCTGCAGTCCTCCTCCATCATCTCCTCACGGAACTTTGCCATCTCTGGAATGAAAAGAGACCCAGGAATCAGGGCCCTTGCGATCTCAATGTGATGGGGAAACCCAGGCAAGACCACCGACTCTGCGCCATTGTTCACCTTGTCATTGGACTTGTTCTGAAGGAAGAGATGCCTGAAGAGGTGGAACAAACCGCCGGAGCCGCTGAACGTGAGCCTCGGAATGCCCAGCTCTCGAGCCATGTCGGCGGTCCAATACTGCATCGTGTCCGAGATGACGCAGCTCGGCGGCGGGTTCTGCTGGCGGAGGATCGACGTCAGCGGCCCGCGGAGCGTCCGGCAAGCATGCAGGAAGGCCACGGCGTGCTCTCTGGACGTCACGCAGTCGAGGTTCTCGCAGCCCTGGGGCAAGCCGAATTCCTCGCATGGGAAGCGAAGGGAGACGAACTGGATGGGGATGCCGGACCCCCTCGCGCGCTGGATGTCGGACTCGATCCGCGAGGCGTTGGCGGGGGTGGTGATGAAGGTGACGTGAACGCCGCGGCTGGCGAGGAGATGGGCCATGTCGACCATAGGAATGGTGTGGCCCTGCGCCATGAGGGGAACCAACACGAAGTGAGCTGTGACGTCCATGGCTGCTCGTTTCCTCCTTTCACCACCCAGTTGCAGAGCTGGAGGAAGGTGAGGAAGAGGGAGCGAGGCAAGGTCAAAGATCCATTGCCTTTACTTTATTAAATGATCTTACTTTATTAAATGATCTGACACTCGTACGTTTTTATAATCGTCACGTGCAAGTCGGAATCACACAAACGTCCGCCGTAGAGGACGTATGCTCACACGTCAGATAACTTAACCTCTCTTTTGGGCATTTTACCTAAAACAGCCCCCTTTCGGGTTTTTACCATATGATCGATACTTCCGTAATTGATTTTACGTGACGGTAACTTTTTTCCGTCAATTTAATGAAAATATCACTCTCCCTCCATCAGCAGCCTCAAATCAGTCTCATCACCAACCCCGACTCTTATCACGAGCGACACCTCCCTCTCCTCCTCCATCGTTGTCTGCCTTTCCATGTCGCCTCCGTCTCACGAGTGATAGTCTTGTCCCCCTCCTTTGCCACCTGTGCAAAAGGCAACGGCCCTTATCCTCTCCGCTGGCACCCTCGTCGCCCACCGTTGTTCTACCTGTGTTGCACAAGCGGAAAAGGAGGGGGTTCAAGGCTATCGCCCGCGGGGGCGGGCACTACACAGAAGCGAAGTGGAAGGATGGGCGATGAGGGATGAGGAGGAGAAGGGGGAAGGATGGGGAAGGAGGAAGAGAGGAGGGGGAGCAAGGAAGGACGACGCTACCTATGATGGGAGCAGGAGGCAACAAGCGACGTCGCTCACGGTGGGAACAAGGGGCGGCGAAGGCGGAGACGACAACGATCGGAGGCTGTTTTGGAGGGGAAGGAGCATTTTCATCGAATTGGGGAAAAAGGATTGCCCCAAAGGTAAAAACAAATTTGGGGGTAATTTGGTAAAAGCATAACATGGGTGACATTGATATTACTAAAATGGCATTAAATATCATTTAATATATTTCACAAATATAATTATAATATTATCTTTTGCATATCATCAAAATTTTGATTGGTTGCTGTTAATCGAGTTTATATTATTCAGGAAAAAATGGCGAGTTTCGATTGTTCCTGAAAAATCTTGACTTTTTTAAAGGCTGATCTTTGGAAAGAGACCTATGATTGTGTCGTGTTCCTCTTGCTTTCTGATCTATAATAATTGTTGGTGTTTGATCCATAGGTGGAGAATATAGCTGCTATGCATATGTCTCACCCCTGATGATGATCTTTGGTGTTTGATCCCCACATCCAAGAAGGATCTCTAAGTACATACATATTCCAAGAAGGTTGTTATGGTTTTAAAGATTAAAATTTTTGTATGAAAATTAATTTTAAAAATTATCTAAATAAGTTTTTAGATTTTTTTACTATCTTTTATTTTTTTTAAGAATAATTAATAATTTCACGTTGATTGAGGAATAGAAAAATCAAGAATGAGTTCGTCTGGTCATATTGAATTATCTACGTTGTTGAATTTTCATTTTGGTTCCCAATGATAACGAGCTACTCAACTAATTTTGAGTTTTCTTGAAATTGATGCTTTCTTTATGAGTTCTGATGTTGTTGCAGGATTAAGCTTTGTTCTTAAGGATAGATAAGGAAATCTGATGGTCGCGGCAGTACCAGAACGATCCCAGAGTTCGTCTCGAAGAGCCGTCGACTCATTCCGCCAGCCACCGGAAGCTCCGAGTGCGGACGCGTTTGGCCCAAGAAAGGAGAGGGAGCCAGCCCTTTAGATGGGCCTTCTCGTCCGAAAAAAGCAAGACTATTTCCTCATTATGCCTTTTGGAAAGTAAAGACAAAGGATTGGATAGGGTCACCAGCAACGCCGCTATCTCTCACTCCTCTTATCGCTGCCGACAAATTACCCCGTTACGGCGTCCCGCGGACCTGCGGTTGGTATCTCCGGGCTCTGTACAGCGAGACGAACGGTCGGAGCCGTCCCAGCCCATGATCGATGCGAAAGACGTCGGTGATTGACGGAGGATATGCTCCTGGTGCGACGCGTGTCCACTTTGCTTTCCTAAATTATGAGTCGTGTCACATCCGCCGTCTGTCTCATTTATTGGCTTCCGCCTCTTCGAGTAATCCGGCGAAGTTTGGATCTTGTTCGAACGTGCCGTCCTTGGAGTCTCGCACCATCTGGATTCTTAGATCGCTGATTTTGTTGTCTTCAGCTGTGGAAGTCTTCCGGTTTAGGGTTTTTTTTGTTCCCTTACGTATGTGTGGTCTTTAAATGCTGCTCCTTTTCGCCCGTCAGTTACGGTTTGACGAGTTCCGACAGGCTTTTGGTACAAACTATTTACGTCTCAAGAGATGATGCTGTGGATTCCAAAGCTAATTTAGATATGGCTATGAAGCCTCTTTTCGAGCAAGAATTAATATAGCTTATCAATTGGGCTTTTAGTCAATGATACTCCGTGAATTGATAAAGTGGTCGTTCGGTTGTTGCATAGTTTGGAGTTGATGAGTTTCTGTACCCGAAATTTGACGCTGTGTTCTTTCTAGTACATTGAGAGCTGCAATTTCTAGGAGTCTTATTAGTTCTTATTAACTATGTCTTAGAAGCTTGCTTTCCCCCAAAAATATGATTTAGGGTATTTTTGGTGTTCATGGTGATTGCTTCATTTTTCTAGGAGTCTTATTAGTTCTACATTGGAAAATGATTGTGATGCTTTTTCCCCCTCTTCTTCTTGGTGTTAAGTTTGTAAAATCTTTGTTAAAATTGGTTCTAATCGGACACGATTTGTTGCAGGTTGTAGATTAATTTGTTTCCTAAATGGCCTCTGCTTCCTCTCATTGCCCGTTCAGACATATTTCTTTCCTTCAAAGCGAATCTAGGTTCCAATCTGCGGAATCTGGTTACTTTGGGACTCCGCAGTTCTTGAAGAAGAGCACTTCTGAGTTGATTATTTACCAAAATTCTGTAACTACGTATCTAAGGAAGGTAAAATCTTTCTGTAATGCTTGAGCGGTAAACTGTAATCTTTACTTTTTCTTCCTTTTTGGCAAAAGTTGCAATCCTGTTACCTTGTTCATTTTACATTGTGGGAAAGCTATGCAAGAAGTTAACTTGATAATGTTGCATTTAGTTTATTGCACTATTTGAGGTTAACGATGAGATGCCTGATTATTTACCTGATCCTTGAAACAAAAATAATAAGATAATCTTGGTATCTGGAACAGTCCTCTGCGATGAAAAGTCGTGAGTTTCTGGAACATAGAAGCTAAGTGTTATCAACAGTAAAACTGAAGGCATATCTCTTTTGCAGGGTTGCAGACAGGTTGCTGCACTACCAGATATTGGTGATTTCTTCTGGGAAAAAGATCCAACTCCCATTTTAGACATGGTTGATATGCCGATTCAATTGAAGAATCTGTCCCACAAAGTCTGTTAGTTTCATAATTACTATGTAGTAAACCTTTGCTGAAATTTTTTACGAGAGTAATATGATGAATGACATTAATTCTAATTCAGGAACTAAAGCAATTAGCTGGTGAAATTCGTTCTGAGATATCTTTTGTTATGTTAAAGACCCGTAGGCCCTTCAGAGCAAGTCTTGCAGTGGTGGAGTTAACAGTGGCTTTACATCATGTTTTTCATGCTCCCATGGACAAGATACTCTGGGATGATGGTGAACAGGTACTATGATTTGCTTGTAAACTAGAATCTATGGTAACTTAAATGGTTCAAAATATCGTAATGGGGTTTCTATTGTAAATAGCGTTACTCCTTCAATTTTACAGACATATGCACACAAGATTCTGACAGGAAGGCGCTCTCTTATGCATACACTTAAGCGAAAAGATGGTCTCTCGGGTTTCACTTCTCGAGCAGAAAGCGAGTACGACGCATTTGGTGCTGGGCATGGATGCAATAGCATATCTGCTGGGCTTGGTACTTTCTTTGGCTTCTTTTCCCTTATAATTTTGGGTCTTTTAGGTGTAAAACAAGCCTCCAGGATGTGTTAGGTTAACTTTCATGTGTATTATTGTTGACATTTGGAAGCATCAATGGTTTCAGTTCCATATACCATATTGAAAAGCAAGCTCTTGCTACATGCGGGTAATAAAATATCTGCAACATCAATTGCCTCTAACAATTAGATATTCCTTTTACTTGATGAGCTTGCATATATGGGAAAACTTTCCCGAAGATTTGGATACTTTGTTTTTCTTGTTGTTCTCTGCCATTCTAGAAAAAATATTGAATTTCTTATGTCTGTTGTTTGCATCTACCCAAGAGCAGATTTTCTAACAAATGAAATCCAACATATCATAAACATTTCTGCAGTATGTTTTTGTTATGAAAAATGTTATTCAATTAGGAATTTCTTAAGTAGTAAATTGTCTTCATATATGGACTAATGCTTATCATTTTTGTTACAAGCACTTTTTAATGTGCATATGAATTTTTATTTAGGTTAGAATGTCAGCTTATATTTGATACTTGGCATATGAAGACATTGAATTTAAAGGTATTGTGATTATTTTAATTTTATGTCCATAATTTTCATTAATATTTTAGTGAAAGTAGTTTAATTGTTTTAGCATTGCTTTAAATTTGTGGATATATTATAACATCTCCAACATTGAGCAGCAGACTACAAATATTACATAGTTTATTTGAAAAGTAAATATAGCCTTTCTTTCCTTGTCTAGTTATTACTAGTAACTAAGTGACATGCTTTCTGAAATAAACTGTTCTTATCAACTGGACCAGGTTGATATAATGAATATAGCAATTGAAATCATAGATACGATCGAAGTCTTTCATTTAATTGTAAACCAAAGTTGAAGCAGAGATTGAAATCTTGGCATATTCAGATGAAACTGATTATTATGATGGAATTTCTAAATGGTAAAGATTAAGTTTTGGAAGGCTAGCTGAAATCTACATTGTAAGTTGAAGTTACAAATATTTCCCCTTATTTAAATTCAATTTTAAGAAAATTCAAAGGATAGGAGAGTGTGCATTTGGATCAGTTAATTCAGTTTGGTTCTGTCTACCTTGGACTACAAAAATTATCTTTCCACATGACATATACGTGCATTTGACAAACAATAGTTCCCAGAAGAGAGATAATTTCTCATTCGCCAGGCCATGTTATTCTTAGGATGGTACTGTTATGAACAAATAAACCAGTGATATTGTATCCATTTGTTGGGTCTTTACTAGTTGCCTTTTTATGTTTTAGTAACCATGTTTACAATTGAGATCCAGTGCTTTGATTTATTTTAAAGCAAATCCTGGTTTTAGTTGCAGTGCTTATTCTCTTTCAGGCATGGCAGTTGCAAGGGATATTAATGGAAAGAAGAATCGTATAGTGACAGTTATAAGTAATTGGACAACGATGGCTGGTCAGGTCTATGAGGCAATGAGCAATGCTGGGTATCTTGATTCTAACATGATAGTGATTTTAAATGATAGTAGGCACTCTTTACACCCTAAGCTTAGTGAAGGACCAAAAATGACAATCAATCCGATCTCAAGCACTTTAAGCAAGATTCAATCTAGTAGATCCTTCCGGAGATTCAGGGAAGCTGCAAAGGTAAATGCTTTCTATTTGAATCATGAATCGCCATAGCACTTTCATGTCTACATAGGCTCAGGCAGTATAAATATTCATGATACTTGCTTAACAAGATTTATCATACGACTGAATATCTGAATGGTACTATGGCATACAAGTCTCTTTATATGTAGCAAATTGCAGCAGAAGATATGTTGATCTAACCTTGAGCTTTACTTTGATGGAAATTTAAATAAGTGAAGCTGTTTCCTTTATCTCTTGCATTGCATTAGCACGTGAATTTAAATGTCCCAAATTTGGTTAAGAATTTTAATGGCATTCTACCTATCACAACACGTGTATAATTGTCGTAACCCATAATGGTTTGGTAACTGTCTCTCCACCACTATTTGGGGTTTAATTTAATTATTTTCTTACTTATAATTAACGCTTTATTCTTCTCATGGGTGCCAATGTCAGGGTGTAACGAAAAGAATCGGTAAAACTATGCACGAATTGGCAGCTAAAGTCGATGAGTATACACGTGGTATGATTGGTCCTCTTGGAGCTACTCTCTTTGAAGAACTTGGGCTGTACTACATTGGACCAGTGGATGGACACAATATTGATGATCTAATTTGTGTACTCAATGAAGTGGCATCATTGGATTCAACTGGACCCGTATTGGTTCATGTCATTACAGAAGATGAGGACTTGGAAAGTATTCAGAAAGGTAAGATAGTGGGATCAATGGCCATTATGGGCTGTTGCAAGGCACAGTTCCATGTTTTATTGCATGTGGATTTATTACATTTATCTATCTTTTGTAAAATGTATATTTCTGTATTAATTACTTGTTCTCACATTGGCTGTTAACAGAGAACTCAAAATCATGTTCTAATTCCATCAACAGCAACCCCTCTAGGACATTCAATGATTGTCTTGCTGAAGCTATAGTTGCAGAAGCAGAAAGGGACAAAGAAATTGTAGTGGTTCATGCAGGAATGGGAGTCGATCCATCACTTAAGCTCTTCCAGTCCAGATTTCCTGACAGATTTTTTGATGTTGGCATGGCAGAACAACATGCTATTACTTTTGCTGCAGGCTTATCTTGCGGGGGTTTGAAACCGTTCTGCATAATTCCGTCAACATTCTTACAAAGAGGATATGATCAGGTATTGTTTCTTGCCCTTGCACTCATCCCCTTCCTGTGCCAGGTGTACTGGTCAATGGCAAAAATGAGTTCCATTAAAAAAGCATTACAAGAAAATTTGAAATAATTATGTTCTTTGTGTAGGTTATCCAAGATGTAGATCTACAGAGACTTCCTGTGAGATTTGCCATTAGTAGTGCAGGGCTGGCAGGATCTGAAGGTCCAATTCATTCTGGAGTTTTTGACATAACATTTATGGCATGCTTGCCAAATATGATTGTCATGGCACCATCAGATGAAGATGAACTTATTGACATGGTGGCTACTGCTGCTTGTGTTAACGACAGGCCTATTTGCTTCCGGTATCCCAGGGTAGCTATTATGGGAAACAATGGTCTATTACATAGTGGAATGCCTCTTGAGGTACCTTTTTGTGATTTTCTCCCTACAGCTTCCATTCTGATTTTCCCCCTTATGTAGTGTAATTTTCATCGTGGTTGGGATCCTAGAACTTTTCAAAGGCAATTTGTTTGTCTTGTCAATTCCTTCATGTTCTGACAAATCAGTATAATATGTAGGAGGCCAGAATTTTGACTCTTTTCATCTCAGCACCTCATTTAAAATTTCTTTTGTTCAAGCCTTTCTCTTTTCTTGTAAAGTTAAAAATGATCTCAATGTCGAGCTGCGAAAGCTGGGTAGGATCTGTACTTTTACAATTTGATATTTTTTACTGTGATCTCACGGACATGAAAGAATATGATATCCATAAACGACTTGTAATTTTACCCCAGACTTGGGAGGAGCCTCGTTCATTAATCCATCCTAAACAAATATGATATCTATTAACATATGCTGCTCACATCGTGTCTAGTCTGTAGTTCTGTACATCCATCGTCAGATACTGTTGCATATCTGCATATATGAATAACAGTTTACATAATTCGAACATTAAGATACAGAAGAATGAACCTTTATTCGACATGCTGGGTACACTTATTACCATTCTGCTTGTGTGGATTTATCTTCAGACTGTAATCACATTGTTGGTTATACTTCCAGCTTATGCCCCACTATATCCTAGTTCAGTTTGTTCTATCTGTTGTCTGATTTTGACTATTTTTCACTTCTGTGAAAATTTGACTGCAAGGTATGACATTTTGGCCTTGATCCACGCCGGAAGTAGTTTGGTTATATTATTGGTTTTCCTGTCATTGCACATAGAAACTCATTTTTTAATAAGATGATTTTACGTATTAAATTATGTTTCTGCAATATAGATTTCTGTCGGAAACAGCATACAAGTATCTCATCTTGGATTTGACCAGCTGTGCTTTAGCAAACTTGTATCTCTATGGTTGTAATTACTTATTTCAGATTGGGAAGGGAGAGATGCTAGTAGAAGGAAAACATGTGGCTTTGCTTGGCTATGGTGTGATGGTTCAGAATTGCCTAAAGGCACAATCTCTGCTTGCTGGCCTCGGTATCCAAGTGACCGTTGCCAGTGCAAGGTTTTGCAAGCCACTTGACATCGAGCTTATCCGAAGGCTATGTCAGGAGCATGAGTTTTTGATAACTGTCGAGGAAGGAACCGTTGGTGGTTTTGGTTCTCATGTTTCACAATTCATGGCACTTGATGGTTTGCTTGATGGAAGAGTAAAGGTATTTATCTTGCTTTTCCCAAATTTGTACCCTTTTTGTTTGTGCCTATAAAAGTTGGCAATAAGATGAATGGCTGCAAGACAACATAAGGTGATGGTCTTATCTTCTAAATTATCTGTTCAAAGGATATCCAGATTGTGTGATGGCTGTCACCTACAACTTGAATTTCCTGTCCACAAACGTCACATGCATACTTCATATTAAATCATATTTATAACATTACGCTTGAACATTTATCAAATGCATAATTAATAAAAGTATTCCATGCTTATGATATCTGCTATATGACATTCCTGACATTTCCATTCCTTGATAGAAAATGTTGAGAGAATCAAAAAGCAAACTTTTAAATGATGACATTTTTGCATGAATGCATCTACATGATCAACCGATCTGGATTTTGTTCTTTTTTGGGGGCAATTCCATTCTTTCTTCTCTTATCATGATATGTTGATTTTCAAATGATCAAGCTCTCATTTTATGGATGTTCTTATTGAATCACCAGTGGCGACCCATTCTACTACCAGACAACTACATAGAGCAAGCAACCCCAAGGGAACAGCTAGAGATTGCTGGACTGACCGGCCATCACATTGCAGCCACAACATTAAGTCTGTTGGGACGTCATCGGGAGGCCTTTCTCTTAATGCGGTAGAAAGTTCTGAACGGGAACATCCGCAGGAGATTCAAAAGGGGGCATTTTATACTGATGCTGCAGTTAAACCTCCAAGTTCTTATCGAGGCTGCCAGATTTTGATCGACATCCGTGGGCCAATATGGAAATTGGGAGAGAAATTGTATAATTTTTGTCGATATGCTCATTGTTGAGAGTTGTATTCTGTTATTGAATGCAAGCTTCTTCAGCGGGGAGTGAGCTTCTTGAAGGGATGCGCCTTTTGCATCTTATGAGCTCTTATGTTGTATGGATCACATTTAGTAGTCCCGAGTCAGATTTTATCCATGGACGTTCATTTTTGTGCCGGCATGATAAATTTAATTTGTATTTGAGATATGCTAGACCTAAATAAGGTCTAACTCAACTAAGTTGGTTCAACTTATTTTGATGAATTAGATCGAGACTCATTGATTGCACATAGCGCCGCCGAATCAGATTGAGGCAATGAGTTTGGCTTATCAGATTTGTGCTCAACTAGCACTTCATAAAGGATTAGTTAATCGAGTCATTACTAAATATGATAGCTAAAAAATCTAGATTTTGTTATATTAAAACCAAAAGGAAAACTAAAAGATTATTAGACTTACATTTGAACAATCTAATTGTTCATTAATTTGTTAAACTTTCAAACCCCCAAGTAGGTTAAAGGATACAAATATAGAGTTGAATCTTCTCTCTTGTGTTATCATGGGAGTGGTTTAGCATGAATGATACTGATGGATGCCTTGCGATAGCTTACTGGAGAGAGCAGCTGAGGGGAGAAAAGACGACGTCTTTTCTTTGGTTCTTGTTCTTGATAGCTTCAGGTGGATTGGTGACGGCTGCAATGTGGTTCCATCCGAGTAGATCTCAGTTTTAATTTGTAGTGTTCTGTTTCTTCTTCTTACCCAAATCTTCTTCTGATGCTGAAACCTGGATCCGTGATATGAGAGTTCCGTCTCTTTCTTAGGTCTTTGATCTGTTCTATCATATTCTTTTCGTTGTCATTTCATTGCAATATGATATCTAACGAATTGATTATTAGTTTTGTTCGATTACCCATTCCTGATTACTATTTATTTTTAATCTATTCCTGAATAATATTTTTTTATTGGAAAAAATAGTTTTATTCAAAACCTTCTAAGAGCAAGAAAATTAGATAAAACTATGATAATAATAATAAAATCATAAGTCTCAGTTATTTGAGATCGACTATAAGAATATCTTATTATCATCGAGACTTACCAAAAATCATATGCTTAATTAAGTTAAAAATATTTAATTTTTTATTTGTAATCTTTATTAATTTTGTTAAAATTTTCTTGTACTCTACCGTTACTAACGATACCATATGACATGAAATTAGCTATTAATTTGACAATCGCTAATAAAATCTTGAGCTTCCATCTCGTCTTCATTGTTACCTCTTATAAATAAATAAAATAAAAAAGATTTCGAATTTAGTAATCGACTACTTGACATGAGAAAAATGGTCGTGAAATTAATTAATAACACTTGACAATGATTCAATGTTAATAAAAAAAAAGGTCGTAAAATTAATTGATAACACAGTACTGTTTAAATAACATTATAATCTGAAGTAGGTTTTCTGCAGCTATCATGAAGACAATGACTGACGCCTCCTTGTTGACTTTTTCTTGTGTGACGTCACGGACGACTTTTCCTGATGGCAACATCGACCGTCACACCAGTCTCTACTCTTCAATCTTCTACCCAACTACGGAAGCAACAGCGGTCATAGCGAGCGAGAGGAAGAGAGGCTGCCACGTGCATGGATGGGGGGGTTTGCTTGTTGTAAGTGGTGCTGAGACGTCATCCGTCCCATCGATCCGATCGTCCTCCGGCATTTGCGTCAGCCTCTCTCTCTCTCTCTCTCTCGTCCTTTCTCTGCAGCTTCCATCGTAGAAGTTAGAAGCTGCGACAGACGTCCGTCACACGCCATGGAACGCATGCACGTCCACCACACACCATTAGTCCTCGATCGCACACGAGCTCGCCGTCTCCATGGATCCAGCGAAAAGAGGTCCTGTGAAAGTTGCAGCTTGAAGACGAGTGCTCTGTCTCGTAGAAAAGCCGTTCTCCCTGCAGATGCGCGCCTCGCACGAGTCCACTAGTCGAACGTCATGGCTGAGCGTCCCGTGATCGCAACTGGCGTCGACCGGCTCACGAGAAACGCCTCACCACACGCTGGCGGCGAGCTCGTCCACGACAATGCCATGGTCCGTGCATCGCCAACGAAGCCCTGCGGCATCGGCATAGAATATACCTCGGATGATAATGACTTCCTTTGCAAAGATTCAACTGCTACGACTCACCAAATCGCTCTTCGACTGTGCACAAACTCATTACATTGAATCATCAAATCAATTTATTGAACTAACCCAAAATAAATAATAGTTAATAAATTAAATCATATTTATTTTATTATGTTAATAAAAATAAAAATAAAAATATATAATGTTAATCTTATAATTATAAATATAAATATTATAAACAACAACAATTAAAATAAGTACTGTAAAATTATTTTAATAGATTAAAAATAGAAAACAGGAATGCTATGTGAGAGAAAGATTAGGTTAAAGACTTTTGAGGGAAATTTGCCCAAATAACAGTCCACCGAAACATTTGCCGGTGGTCGGTGGCCAAATTGGACTAAGATTTGACTACCACGACCTCGCCCACCTCTCGTGGACTTTGGGACTGCGAGCGACTCTGTCCCTCTATATGTGCTCGTCCATGTGTGTCATGGAAGAAGTATTCATCGATACCTTGGCCGGTCCATTTGCCTGATAAGGCAGTCGAGCACGTAACCGGAGAAGAGAACTGTTCCACGGTAAGTCCCACACTGCGATACCCCTCCCTAGTTTTAGGCGTCGATTACGACATGCGTCAATGAATGGGCACAAGTCATGCTCATGTCCCCCACTCGAGCTGTCCGCATGGGTGGATCGTGAATCTGCACCGCACCTGTTCAAGTGGATTTGGGAATTGCGTCGCACCACCAAATTGCCTGTAGAACGTGGTGTCTAATTATGCTCATGCAGTTTGATTTGCTTTAACGTGATAGTTTGGCTCTCTCGGCAAACAGCTCTGCGCGCGAAGAAGCCAAGGAGAGAGAGAGAGAGAGGAAGTCGGCGAGCGGAACGCGAAGAGCCGTGAGGCCACCGACGCCGAGAAGTGCTGTGGAGATGGTCTGAATCAGCCCCATAAAGGGTTGGGTGGTGGCGGTCTCTCGAGGGTCTCCACTGTCATTGGCTACGACCCCCGCGGCGTTACGTCTGGCGACAGCCTATCACGTGCGACTCCTGTCGGATTTAGTATCCTTTTAGCGCGGTTCCTTCGCGGCCCGACTGGCTCTCCCTCTCCTCCCTTTTTATTTTCCCTCTCCACCGAAACAGGAGAGAACAGAAAGAAGGAGAGAGAGGAGAATCGCCCGGTGTTCCTTCCCTCCTTTCACATATCTCTCTCCCTCCTCGGGGTGGCACTGCGTTCTCGAGTCGTCTTCACCTGTGGAAGAAAGAGAGAGGGCGAGAGAGAGAGAGAGAGAGAGAGAGACCCGCATCAGGTCGACAAACCTTTCTTTTCCTTCATCATTCAAGTTATCGCGAGCTTTACATGTTCCAAAGGCCTTAACTTTCACGCCGTGTGCGTGCCTGAGTTCTGGCTCTATTAAGTTGATGACTACAAATGGAACAGCTTGTTCCTTCCAAGAACCTCATTTATGTATGGCGTTCTTCCCTTGTTTGGGTGTCCATTTAGTATGGATTCGGAACGATCATTGCCTGACATAGAAGATTTACATGAGGCCAGTTGGTTGCAACTGCTGCCGGTTTCCTTTCTTGATGCTTCTTTGCGTTTATTTTGCGCTCGCCGACTTCTCCGCATCAGGTCGACAAACCTTTCTTTTCATTCGTCATTCAAGTTATCGCGCGCTTTACATGTTCCAAAGGCCTTAACTTTCACGCCGTGTGCGTGCCTGAGTTCTGGCTCTTCTAAGTTGATGACTACAAATGGAACAACTTGTTCCTTCCAAGAACCTCATTTATGTATGGCGTTCTTCCCTTGTTTGGGTGTCCATTTAGTATGGATTTGGAACGATCATTGCCTGACATATAAGATTTACATGAGGCCAGCTGGTTGTAACTGCTGCGGGTTTCCTTTCTTGATGCTTCTTGCGTTTATTTTGTAGTTGGTTTTCGGTGGATCTTTTGTCGTTTCTCTTTCATTCCGATGCCTGTTTCCAAGTATTTGACGGCTGCATGTTTCAGGAGATGAACGAGGGATCCGTTCTTGTTCTCTTCTCTTGCCTTGGACTTCGTAGATTACGTCTTCTTGTTTGGCCTTCCCATTTCTCCGAGTGATCTCTTCGTATTCCATGGCCCATCCTGTTTTCTATGTCGCTTCCTCTTCCCTGTTTCTATAGTTTCATGCCCTTGTCATCAGGAACGGATATCCTTTTCGTCCTCTAAGCAAAATTGGGTGTGGGATCGCCACCTTTTCTCTCTCCTTGTGAAAACTTGTATCTACGTATGATTTTTACATCCTCTGTTTTCTCTTTCCTTTATTTTCTTTGAACTTTTATGTACAAACTTGTATGTCTGCTTTCTGGAATCTTTTCTCGTTCTTGCACATATCAAATGCTTTGGTGCAATATAGAAGTCGTCAACATGTTTCTTATGTTTCTTATGAATCGAATTTTGCACCATTTAATGAGCAATAAATGTGCTCTTTTCTTCGTCCTTAGATTACAACGACTGCAAAAGGGATTTGACATGTTGTTTAGGTGTTTGTTGCGTTGCTCATCTTAGATGGTTTCTCCAGGAATGGATCAGACCGCGACTCCCTTGCGAGGGATCATCAACGATGTCAAAGGACGAGCCGCATGCTATCGGCAGGACTGGATTTCCGGATGTCATTCAGGCTTCAGGTAACAACACCTTGTTCCTTGTCATCTTGATCGCTGCCAATCCATTAATTGTCTGTATCTTCCTTTTCAGCATATTGGCTCCGACAATGTATATCTTCTTTGCTTCTGCACTCCCTGTCATTGCCTTCGGAGAACAGCTGAGTAAAGAAACTGGTAGGCAAGACTTGCCATGGAGTAAATACACTCGAAGCCGTTCCAAAGTTCAAGTTGACATCGAATTAACCTGTTGCAGATGGAGCTCTGAGCACGGTTGAAACCTTAGCCTCCACAGCTATCTGCGGCATCCTGCACTCGATACTCGGTGGGCAGCCGATGTTAATCGTAGGAGTCGCGGAGCCGACTGTAATCATGTACACGTATCTGTACAATTTCGCCAAAGGGCGTGAAGATCTGGGAGCGCGTCTCTACTTGGCTTGGGCAGGATGGCAAGTGATGGCTACTTTATTGGGATCTGTGTTTAGGATT